AAAATAAAAAAATCGATAATTCCAAAAAATAAAAAAACTGAAAAATCGGGAAATCGAAACATCAAAAAATCAAAAAATAAAAAATTTTAAAAATCGAAAATTTGAAAAACTGAGAATCTGATCAGATCTGAATTAACCTGAGCTGACTTGGCCAAAAAGGTGACGAATAAAATAAAAATTACAATTAAAAAGCGGCCTAAAAAGCCTTAATAAAACGACGAAAAATGCAAAAAAAACTTAACGACTCAATAAAAAAAGTGGGGAAAAAAGGTGACAAAAAAGTAAAAAACAAATTAAGAAAACAGGATAAAAAGGGAGTATTTGCAAATACTACAAAAAAAAACTTGGAAGAAAGTGAAAAAAATAACAACTAAAAAAGCCAAAAAAGTGACCAAAAAAAGGTGACATAAACTAAAAACGAAAAGCAACTCAAAAAAAACTACAAAAAAATGTAAGAAAACAGTGATTAAAGAATACGGCAAAAAACTTAAAAAAAGTGCAAAAAAGTAACAAAAAACAACCAAAAAAGTCGAAAGGAAACGCCGAAAAAATGAAGCTTAAAGAAACAAAAAAAGACAACAAAATAGATTACAAAAAAAAATAAAACATCACAAAAATGCCACAAAAAAGAAGACTGAAAAAAGTACAAAAAAAAGAGACACAAAAAGTGAAAAAATGAGCAAAAAAAGCAAAAAAAAGATTCAAAGGGCAAATGTAGATCCATAATTATTTTACACACTTTATATAGGATTTATCCAGCAAAATTTTGAAATAACGTCATAAATTTTGGAGGGAGCAATTAACGACGTTAAATGATAAAATGTAATACAATTTTGATTTTTTCAAAAAAAAAACACGAATGTTATGAGCAAATCAAGGAGGATTCATAAATCACAACTAATGAAAAAACGACATACAAAATCCGAAAGGAAACGGTAGAAAATAAGGAGACGAGGAGCGATTGAAAAACGCAAAAAATGGAAAAAATAAAAAAAGGCTAAATAAGGGAGATAAAAAAAGACTAAAAAGCAACACAAAAAAAAACAGAAAAAAAAAGGTAAAAAAATTAGCGACTGTAACAATGCCACAATAAAAGACAGAAAAAAATGTTAAACATGTAAAAAAAAAAATGACAAAAAGGCCATAAATTCTACTACAAAAAATTTTATTGGCCATATTTGAATTAACTATTTATTATTTAGTGTTAGATACATGAAATCTTTACTTTTGGAATCAATTATGTCTTTATCCTTAATTTTCTACATTTTATAATATGCATTACAAAAACTTTAAAAAATTCCACAACGAATCTGGCAAGTTTTTAAAGTTATATCTATTTAAATAGATATTTTGTTTTTGTAAGCAACGTCAGATTGTACCTATGAGGAATTTTTTAATGATTTTTTAATCACTGTGTGTATAGAAAATTTGACAACAATTAGTCCGGTAATTCTGGAGATTAATTAGTGTCTAGTAAAATCTCCATCAACGACACAAGGGACGAAACCGTTAAACATTTGAGAAATAAAACACGAAAACATGGAATCGTTTAATTTTTGCCTGATCAACCTGAAAAATAAGAACCGATATCTTCTCTGCGTAAGCCCGTAACAGGTGGATTTGTTTTCACAGCCCGCTAGACGTCCCACATAATAAATATAGACACAAAGCCTCCTGCGTTCTGTTTATCGTAATTATAAAAGTTTCTTAGCCCATTTTTGTGGAGTGGCTCGTTCCGAACACGTGTGATGCAAGAACGCCGGGGCAAAAAACGGATAAAAAATAAGAATACCACACTAGACAAAAAAATGTTGAGTTTATAAAGCGAGCACAGCCATCTTCTTCGGCTCATGTATGCATTATAAATATGAAATTGTGTTTGGAAGGGGGAAAGTACAGCTGGCCGAATGTACTCCTATTGTTTTTTGTAGCTCGCGACTGTTTTAGAATTTCATCGAGCCGGGGGATGGCACGGCGTACGCTGAAAAAACTGAAAAAAAGCTGAAAATGTCACGTACGGGCCGCGCTTTGATGAATGGAGGCTGGATTCATTGTGGACGGAGCGAATTTGATGCACGAATTGTTAATGTTGGTTGGTGCACTTTGCTCGTTTTGTTTTTGCAACGAGGGAAAAGAGTGTAACACATATGGGGGGTCTAGTGTTACCAACCAACGTTAAGTTATGTCGGTTCGATTACAGAGTGAAATGTCAACATGGAAGGAACAAGTGTCTTTGCACGAAACAAAAACATTCTGATATTTTCGATAATTTGTATTCAGTTTTTTTTTTTATATACATAGTTGGTGCGGACAACGCTGGAATATTGTAAGACTTTTTAAATTTTAGATTTTTGGATTTTTTGATACTTTGATTCCTCGATCTTTCGATTTTTCAAGACTTTCCAGATTTAGATTTTCCTATTCTCAGATTTCTCGAATTTTCAATTTCCCAATTTGTCTAGTTTTCAGTTTCAGAATACAGTATAACCTACTATAATCCAAACCCTCGATTATTCGAACATCCAGTAATCTGAACAGGGACAGTGAAGTTATCGAACAAATGAGGCCGGCAGTAACTTCTGCGGCCCGAAATTTACAAGAAAAAGTATGTAGTTAAATTTCGAAAATCGTCAAAAATGGGTCGAAATTTGCATGAGGGAAATATAATAAAATATAACAAAATAGACAACAAATCGGAAAAATCAAAAAATCAAAAACTTTAAAAATCGAAAAATCAAAATACACAAAAATCGAAACATTAAAAAATCAAAAAAATAAAATATCTGAAATTTGAAAATCCAGAAATTGAAAAGTTCTCAATATTCAAATCCTGAAAAATTGAGTATTGAGAATCGAAAAATGTAAAATTTAAAAAATCCAAAAATTGAGAAATAAAAGAAAAGAAAAATAAAAAATTTAAAAATTCGAAAAATTGAAAAATTAAAATATCGAAAAATGGAAGAATTGGGAAATAGAAACACCAAAAAAATCAAAAAACAAAAATCTAAAATTCAAAAATCAAAAAATTGAACACTCGAAAAGCCAAAAAGTCGAAAAATCGAAACATCGGAATGTTTAAAAACTGAAACATCGAGAAATCAAAACATCGACAATAGAGGAGTCAAAAAATCAAAAAATGAAGAAATCAAAATTGAAAAATTGGAAAGTTAATAATCGAAAAATTGAAACATTTTAATTCAAAAAAATTGGTAAACCGAAAAATTGAAAAATCTAAAAATCGAGAAATTAAACGATCTAAAAATTAAACAATTGCAAAATCCCAGAACTGAAATACTGAAAAACCAGAAAATGGAAGGAAAATTGAAAAATCGAAAAAGTGAAAAAATTCAAAACTGAAATCTTGAAAAACTAAAAAATGGAAAGAAAATTGAAGAATCGGAAAAGTGAAAAAATCCAAAACTGAAACATTAAAAATTGGAAAATCACAATTGAAGAAAGAATTGAAAAATCGAGAAATAGAGAAATGGGAAAATCAAAAAATCAGTTAATCGAAAAATTGAGATATCGAAAAATGAAGAAATTCATGAAACCGAAAATATGAAGAATTGGGAAATCGAAGAATCGATAAATTGAAAAATCCCAACAGTAATATGTCGAACAATTGGGAAATCGAAATCGAGCAAAACTGAAGTATCGTAAAGTTAATAAATTGAAAAACTGAAAATTTTTGAAAAAAAAAATCGTATCAAAAACTAAAAATTCAAAAAATCGAGAAGTTGAACTATCAAAAATCCCAGTAAGTTGATAAATAGGAAAATTTAAAAAACAAAAATTTAAAAAATCCAAGAATTGAACAACAAAAAAAAATCTAAGCCTGAAAACTCAGAAAATCGAATTATCGAGAACTCAAAACATCAAAGAAAACAAAAAATCTAAAATTTAAAAATTATACAAATTGAAAAATCATGGAACTGAAAAATCGAAAGGTCGAGATCGTGAGAAATCTAAAAACCTAAAACTTTAAAAACTGAAAAATTAAAATATCGAAAAATTTAAAAACAGAGAAAACACTATCAAAAATTTGAAAAGTTGAAGAAACGAAATATTGCAAAATTCCAAAGCTGAAATATTGAAAAACCTAAAAATGGAATGAAAATTAAAGAATCGAAACAGTGAAAAAATCCCAAACTGAAACATTGAAAAATTGAGAAATGGAGAAATGGGAAAATCAAAAAAATTGGTCTAAAGAGTTTAGACAGTACTTCCCCCGCTATCGGAAACGTGACGACTGCATGCCCATTATGTTTTTTTTTCATATTAGATTTCAAAGCATTCGGTTTTGTAGTTCCTGATTAAATCAATAAAATAAATTTGCGCATTCATTAAATTTTTTGAGTTACCCTGGTATATCCGAATGCAAAAAATATGAATGGAATGATAAATTACAAGAAGAGACTCATCATATTTTGTACATTTTAAAAACACTATTATATTCAATTTTTTCTTCGTCTATCTTCAATTCCTTGTATAGCCTTTTCAAACTGAACTTCGAAAAGTTATCATTTCTTTTGTTAATAATGTCAATCTGCGATTGAAAATCTTTTTACGCAGGGATTCAGTAAATTCTACCTGGAGTGAAAAAAGAAAAGATTTAATATTATTAAACTGTGACATATTGTTATTGAAAAACGCACACACTAATTTGACCTCCTTAGATTTACAGCGTATGTCATTTTCAGATAGGCCAATTCAGCTTGCATGGATTTCACCACTGCATGCAAAAACTGCAAGTTATAACAAAAAACTTATCAACTCGCCGATAAAAGAAATTAAAAGTAAACATATAGAGGTTGGACTATTCTGCAATAAAACAGAAAAAGTAGCTATTATTACGACTGTCCCCTTACGCATTTAAAACTAGAAATCGTAGTCATTATTATCTAAACCTTGAGCCTTGCTTACGCATGTTTCTAATTTGTGACACAACAAACTTAATTGCCCCCTGAGACCTTGCTGGTTTTCTATATTATGTACGCATCGACACAGTTTTAGAGTTTCGAACAAACCACATTTTTTCATATAGGTATAATTGGTTTGAGAGTGACGGATGACTGCAACCTGAAACGTAAGTCCTCCACTTCAGTATATCAGTCGACGCGTTTTAAGCGCAACACTTTTAATTTTGAGCAATTAAATTTTCTCTTTCGCTTGATTTCACTCCCGTGAAAATTATAAACTAAAACACCATGAGCGACAAACTCGACGTCATAATCTTCGGAGCCTCCGGCTTCTCCGGGGGTTACGTAGTGCACCAACTTTACAAAATCTGCAAGAAAGACAACCAGGACGTTAAATGGGGACTCGCAGGACGCTCGACGACGCGCCTCCAAGCCACCCTCAAGAACCTCGAACTCAAAACAGGTTCGTCTTTGCTCCACGACGTTCCCATTTTCGAAGCCGACACCACCAACGAAGCGTCTTTGGAGGAGGTGGCGTCGAAAGCACGCCTCATCATCAACTGCACAGGGCCGTACAAGTTTCACGGAGAGCCCGTGGTGAAGGCCTGCATCAGACAAAAGTGCCATTATGTGGACCTCAACGCAGAGCCCCAGTTTATGGAACGAATGCAGCTGGTTTACAACGAAGAAGCGGCGAAGAACGGGGTCTACGTGGTGACTTCTTGCGGAATCGACAACATTCCGGCTGACATAGGGTTGGAGTTTTTGCGGAAGAGTTTTAAAGGGAGTCTGAATTCGGTGGAGTGCTACGTTGAGTTGATACCAGAAGGGAGTTTCGGGAAAGGGGCTGTCGCGAACTATGGGACTTGGCAGTCGTTCTTGTACACGATGGGGGACTATGCGGAGTTGAGGAAAATAAGAACGGAATTGTTTAAGACGCCGCTGCCTAAGCTGAAACCAAAATTGCCCTTGCGGTAAGTTGGGTACTTTTTTCAAGTGTACGAAAAAATAGGTCTCTCGTTTCCGTCTGTCTGTCTGTCCGCCGTCTGTGTCAATTTTTACTGTCGATATTTAAAATTTTTTATTTTTCGTTTTTTCAATTTTTTTTCTCACATTTAGTAAAGCTGTTTTGTTGTAGGAGATGCCTGCACAAAATTCCTTTTTCTAACACGTACGCAGGACCGTATCCTGGAGGAGAAGCCACGGTGATGCGACGCTCCCAACGATATTTTTACGAACAAGACCACGTCAGACCCATCCAGATCCATACTTACGTCGGACCGCCAAAATTTTGGCAGTACATCCTCCTCTTCGTGGCTTTTATACTCGGCGCTTCCCTAATCAGACTAATACCTTCCGTAGTCAAAATTCTGCTCAAACACCCCAAACTGCTGACTTTGGGTTTTTTCGACAGTAAGAAGCAACCTGCGGAAGACGTTCTGGCGAAAATTAAATTCGCGGCGACTTTTCGAGGTCGTGGTTGGAAGGGAAAAATCGTAGATGAAAAGTTTAAAGAAGCTGAGGATTCTTGGATGGTGGCGAAAGTGAGCGGGACGGATCCGTACGAGATCACGGGGATCTGTGCGGCGGCTGCTGCAATCGTTTTGCTTGATGATGGTCAAAGTTTGCCGAAACGTGGGGGGGTGTACACCACCGCCGCCGCTTTTGCGAATACTAATTTAGTTGAGGTGTTGCAAAGACATGGGTTGAAGTTTGATATTATCGGTGAAGGGCGGTTGTAGGATTTTTTTGGGTTAAATCGTACCGGAAATCACCGATCTGCGCAGTTTGTTTACTCGAATGTTTGGAAATTTTACAATTTTTGTGTTAAATTAGTTTTTTCCTTGAAATCGACATGTTTTTGTTTTAAAATTATATAAAAGAAATTCAAGAATTAGTTTTATTACTTCCCGGGCGTAAGCAAAGGAAATATTGTAATCGAGTCCGTCGGCCGACTCTCTACTTTTACGTTTTCTCGATCTTTCATGACCTCTAGAAGACGAAGAAATAGGTCTTCCATTTCCGTCTGTCTGTCCGTCTGTCAGTCTGTCCGTCTGTCTGCCGTCCCGGATTTTTATTAGACAGATAATCTCCGAAAGTACTGGACCGATTGTTGTGAAATTTTGTATTTATATTAGGAATATCATGTAGATGGTAAAACGCTAACCAAAATTTGACTAATCATCCCCACCACTAATGCGATGACGTCACTTCAAAATTGTACATAGTAAATGGGTTTTAAATTTTCCAATTTAATTTTGAATCTGCTAACCCGAATCTTTTGAAATGTGACAGATGTTTTAAGGCTATAAAGAGCATCATAAATCTTTAGTTAAAATATATTTGGTTATCCCCTCCAAAAACTTGATGACGTCAGCTCAAAAGTTTGCCGAATAAATCCTATCTAAAATGTACAAAATATGATGAGTCTCCTCTTGTGATTTATCATTCCGTTCATATTTTTTGGATTTGCATATAACTGGTGACCCAAAAAAAAATTAATGAATGCGTAAATGTATTTTATTGATTTAATCAGGAACTACAGAACCGAATGTTTTGAAATCTTGCAGATGTTTTAAGATTATAAAGAGCATAATAAATTTTTAGTCAAAATATATTTGGTTATCTTGTCAAAAAAACTGATGACGTCAGCTCAAAAGTTTGCGAATAAATGCTATCTAGAATATACAAAATATGGTGAGTCTCTTCTTGCGATTTATTATTCCATTCAAATTTTTTCGATTTCCATATACAGGGTGACTCAAAAAAAAATGAATGCGTAAATTTATTTTATTGGCTTACTCAGGAACCACAAAACCGAATCCTTTGAAATCTACTGCGAAAAAAAAACATAATAGGCATTCATCTAAAATTATCTATATAGAACTTTCCTTGCGTCTGAAGTGCAATCCCACAAATTCTCTATAAAAATGCCCTCATTTTAAAAGGATGATTTCTAAATTTTACAATAGTAAATGTTATTTAAATTTTACAAAATAAATTAACATACTCAATTTTTCTATTATCGATTTTTGATATATGTATATGTATTTCAGTTTTGGAATTTGGCAGTTAAATTCTTCAATTTCTCGATTTTCCAAGTTTTAGATTCCCCAATCTTTTATTTTTTTTTCTCAATTTTCCGATTTCTCAGTACCTACATATTAAGATTTTTCAATCTTCTGATTCTTCAATTTTTTGATTTTTAAATTTTTCCATGTTTCAAATTTTCAAATTTGGCCGTTTCTAAGTTTTAGATTGTCAATTTCCCGATTAATTGATTTTCTGAATTTTCACTTTTTCGACTTCTCGAATTTTCGATGTTTCGATTTTTCAGTTTTCAATTTTACAATGTTTCAATATTTCAATTTGAAATTTTTCGATCTTTCGATCTTTCAATATATTTTTCATCAGTTCTTCGATTCTGCGGTTCTTCGGTTCTTCGATTCTTCGATCCTTCGGTTCCGCTTCTTCGGTTTTTCGATTATTCGATTATTCAATTTTTCAGGTTTTGTTATTTTAACAATAATTTTAATTTTTAGATTTTTGATTTTCGGCTTTTCGATTTGTTCAACTTCTCCATTTTTTGGACTTCCCGATTTCTAGATTTTTCATATAGCCCGTTTTCTTGATTTTTCAGATTTTCGATTTTTCGATTTTTCGATTTTTCGGTTTTTCGGCCCATCGATTCTTCGGTCCTTCCCTTCTTCGGTCTTTCAGTTCTTCGGATCTTCAGTCTTTTGGTTCTACAATTTTTCAGTTTTTCGATTTTTCAGGTTTTGATTTTTTATCAGTTTTTGGTTTTTAAAATTTTCGATTTTTGGCTTATTCCACTTTTCGATTTTCTGATTTCTCAATTTTTTAGTTTATCTCGTTTTCTTGATTTTTTCAATGTTCGATTTTTCAATTCTTCTTAAATTTTACATTTTTCGATTTTACGGTTTTTTGATGTCTCGATCCCTCAATTTTTCAATAATTCAGTTTTGGGAATTTTTCAATTTCAGGATTTTTCAATTTTGCGATATTTTAATTTTCCATTTTTAAAATGTTTCGATTCCTTGCAGTTTCGATTCTCAATCTTTCGATTTTTTAATCTTTCCATGTTTCAAATTTTCAAATTTGGCCGTTCCTAAGTTTTAGATTGTCAATTTCCCGATTAATTGATTTTCTGAATTTTCAGTTTTTCGAATTTCCCGTTTCTCGATTTCTCGAATTTTCGATGTTTCGATTTTTCAGTTTTCAATTTTACAATGTTTCAATATTTCAATTTGAAATTTTTCGATCTTTCGATCTTTCAATATATTTTTAATCAGTTTTTCGATTCTTCGGTTCTTCGATTCTTCGATCCTTCCGTTCCGCTTCTTCGGTTTTTCGATTATTCGATTTTTCAATTTTTCAGGTTTTGTTATTTCAACAATTATTTTAATTTTTAGATTTTTGATTTTCGGCTTTTCGATTTTTTCAACTTCTCCATTTTTTGGACTTCCCGGTTTCTAGATTTTTCATATAGCTCGTTTTCTTGATTTTTCAGATTTTTGATTTTTCGATTTTTCGGTTTTTCGGCCCATCGATTCTTCGGTCCTTCCCTTCTTCGGTCTTTCAGTTCTTCGGATCTTCAGTCTTTTGGTTCTACAATTTTTCAGTTTTTCGATTTTTCAGGTTTTGATTTTTTATCAGTTTTTGGTTTTTAAAATTTTCGATTTTTGGCTTATTCCACTTTTCGATTTTCTGATTTCTCAATTTTTTAGTTTATCTCGTTTTCTTGATTTTTTCAATGTTCGATTTTTCAATTCTTCTTAAATTTTACATTTTTCGATTTTACGGTTTTTTGATGTCTCCATCCCTCAATTTTTCAATTCAGTTTTGGGAATTTTTCAATTTCAGGATTTTTCAATTTTGCGATATTTTAATTTTCCATTTTTAAAATGTTTCGATTCCTTGCAGTTTCGATTCTCAATCTTTCGATTTTTTAATCTTTCCATGTTTCAAATTTTCAAATTTGGCCGTTTCTAAGTTTTAGATTGTCAATTTCCCGATTAATTGATTTTCTGAATTTTCAGTTTTTCGACTTTCCCGTTTTTCGATTTCTCGAATTTTCGATGTTTCGATTTTTCAGTTTTCAATTTTACAATGTTTCAATATTTCAATTTGAAATTTTTCGATCTTCCGATCTTTCAATATATTTTTAATCAGTTTTTCGATTCTTCGGTTCTTCGATTCTTCGATCCTTCCGTTCCGCTTCATCGGTTTTTCGATTATTCGATTTTTCAATTTTTCAGGTTTTGTTATTTTAACAATTATTTTAATTTTTAGATTTTTGATTTTCGGCTTTTCGATTTTTTCAACTTCTCCATTTTTTGGACTTCCCGATTTCTAGATTTTTCATATAGCTCGTTTTCTTGATTTATCAAATTTTCGATTTTTCGATTTTTCGGTTTTTCAGCCGATCGATTCTTCGGTCCTTCGCTTCTTCGGTCTTTCAGTTCTTCGGATCTCCAGTCTTTTGGTTCTACAATTTTTCAATTTTTCGATTTTTCAGGTTTTGATTTTTTATCAGTTTTTTGATTTTTAAAATTTTCGATTTTTGGCTTATTCCACTTTTCGAGATTCTGATTTCTCGATTTTTCAGTTTATCTCGTTTTCTTGATTTTTTCAATGTTCGATTTTTCAATTCTTAAATTTTACATTTTTCGATTTTACGGTTTTTTGATGTTTCGGTCCCTCAATTTTTCAATAATTCAGTTTTGGGAATTTTTCAATTTCAGGATTTTTCAATTTTGCGATATTTTAATTTTCCATTTGTAAAATGTTTCGATTCTGTCTTTCGATTTTTGAATTTTTCGATTTCCAAATTTTTTCCGATTTCTCGATAATTCGATTTTTGAGTTTTTCAGTTTTTCGAAAACCCTTTTTTCCCGTTTATTATCAAATATTTCATATTGTCTGAAATCAGTTGATTTTTTATTTCATTAATTTAGTAAATGTTGTTTAAAATTCATGAAATAAGATATTTCTTACACATGCCGTTTATGAATTCGTGTTGTTTTTTTTTTTCTCTAGACATCCAGAATTTTGGAAAAAAATTAAAATTGTATAACAAAATTTGGAATTTAACCTTGAAACTGCAAAACCGAATGCTCTAAAATTTTACAGTTAGCCTTCGGCCAATTTTTGTATTGTTGGTTTGAAGCTGAACAATAATGTTTTTTTTAATTGAAATAAATTTTAGATAAAAAATTATCGCTAAAATAAAACTAAAAAATTTCTTTTTTCATTTACTAAACAAAACCTTACACATATATACAAGAAAAGTACAAAAATAATTAAAATCTAACTTAAACTATTATCACAAATCTCAGTACGTACTCCTCAACCTGTTCTTCTCGGAGATCTTGTTCTTCAGATCCTGCCTGATCCCCGACGAATCGTACTTCCTCTCCTCCCCATAATTCGAATAATTGTGCTCCACGTTCCCGTAAAACTCCCTCTTCTCGCTCTTCACCGCCTTCTGCCTGTTCGGGTCAAAAAACTTCCTCACATACGCAGAACTCAACCCCTCGTCGTGGCTCTTCTTCTTGATCAGCATTTGCTCCTCGTTGCTGTGGTTCTTGACGTGCTTCCTCAGACTGCTCGGGTCTGTGTACTTTTTTGTGCAGCCGACCACTTGACACGCGTATGGTTTCTGTAACGACCCGACATCACATAATGTTAAATAAAGAAATCGCAAGTACCGTGTCGAAGTGGGTTCTTTGATGTTTGGCCCGGTCCGAGCTGTTGGAGAAGCTCTTGGTGCAAGTGGGGAACTGACACAGGTAGGGTCGCTCACCAGTGTGGCTCCTCTGGTGGATCTTCAGGTTCTCCAGACGGGAAAACGCTTTATTACAGCCGTCGAACTGGAAAAGAAAAAGTTATTAGTCGCATGATGTAACCGGCGAGTTTTTTGTCGACTGTTTATTTTACTAGGCTCACTGAACTTTAAGTTGGCCCAGGTGGTGTTAAAAACATATGGGTCTTAAACGTTCCAGATAATTTACACGCTTTCGAAGCCAATTGGAGGGAAACTGTTAAATTTAGACACTCACTGGGCATTTGTTGGGTTTCTCGCCGCTGTGGACCCTCATGTGGATCAAAAGCTTGTACCTTGCGTTGAAAGGTTTGACTTTCCGGGGACAGTTCGCCCAGAAACACGTGAATTCTTCGCCCCTTTTCACCTCCACGTGACACTTCTCAATGTGCTTGACCAAAGCGCTCTGACTGTCGTAAATCTGGTAACAGTGTTCCCACTGACATTGCAGTACCGAAGACGAAGACACTTCTTCGTCCCCTGTACTCGACTCCGACTCCGACGGGTTCTTCCGCCGGTACATCAAGCTCGACGAACTCAGAAGAGGGTCGTCGTTCAAGTCCATGAGGGCCTCATTCCGCGAAAGAACCACTTGGTTGTCCGACAGTTGGTACTCCTGGATGTCTTCCTTGTTGTTGTTCAAACACCGCGTCCCTATCAAGTGTCCGAACTCACTCCTGCTTTCTTGCTCGAAGTACCCCAGACTATCCTCCGGTACCGACCTCAAGTACGTGGTGAAATCAACCCCAGTCCGTCCGATGGTACTAATAGGTGGCAAGGCGTACCTCTGCTCATCCAGATCTTGCAACTCGCTGGCGAGGTTATCCAAGTCCAGCGACTCATTAGAAAGACCATCGCACAAATCAATATCTTCCAGATCTAGATTATCCAGCGGCGACTCCAAAATCTCCGACAACCCTCTAGTACTACCCGTACTCGCGTCCGACTGGCACAAGTTCTCGTCGAACGTCCTCACGAAGTCGTTGAAGTCGAAATCGCCGTCAGACGGCTCGTTGTTCGAAATTAGGTACTCGATCAGGTAATCGTCTCGGATTTCCGGCTCGCTGAAGTTCGTGTGGTCGTTCTTGGTGAGGTTTTGGCTTTCGTAGAACGCCAAGTTGAATTTTTCCATGAGTTCGGTCTGGGTCAGGTGGACCGAGGGGTTGTAAAGTGACTCGGAGGTGTTCAGCAGCATCTGGAAACTTGGGTCAGGTGGCAAAGTACGACCGGGTACTAAGTACTTACGTTGCTATTCACATGTCACTGGTACTACAAGCGCGGCTCTGCCGATGTTGCCGTTTTAAAAGCTATTTATAAATTGAGATGACATCTTCGTGCCGATGGCGTTAAGAGTTTGTTGGTTGGGGCAGAGCAAAAAATTCTCGGATTCGGGGACTTTCGGCGCTGAGTCGGGGCTGGATCGAGGAATTTAGCTGGGGATGGCGGAATTTTTAGTTGCGGTTTTAGGAAAGGGGAGTCAATTGTTTAGATTTTAAGAGAGTCGAACTTGAAAGTCCAACATATGAATGTTCTGTAAATAAAGTTGTTCTCATTTTTAATAAGAAAGTAACGTAATTGAGTCCATCGGGCGACTGATTACTTTCATGTTTTCTCAAGTTTTGAGTTGAGTTTTTACCCTCGGAGTCCAAATTAAAATTGTCTTACGTTTTAGAATTTAAATTTGGAATTTCACAATCAGATGCTTTGAAATCTTGCAAAAGTTTAAGCAAAATTTGTTCGTTAATGTTCCCTAGGAACAATTTTGTCAAATAAATGAACTTGTGGTTTGCGAATTCATGTTGAATTTTTATCATTGACATTGAGATTTTTGGAAAAAAAAATCAATTTTTCAATTATCTATCCAGTTTTTCTCATAAATCTTTTTTTTTTTCTTGATTAATCGATTTTTCGTTTTTTTGAATTTTCGATTTCTCGACTTTTCGATGTGTGGATTTCTCGATTTTTCTGTTCATTTCTTTTTTTGACTTTTCAATTTTTTGATTTTTTAAATTTTCAACTTTTCGACTATTGAATTTCCAGATTTTTCAATTTTTCGATCTTGTAGTTTAGGAATTTTTCGATTTTTTGACTTTTCAGTTTTTCGATTACTCGATTTTTGAAATTTTCGGTTTTTTGATTTCTCGATGTTTCATTTTACTTCTTCGATTTTTCTATTTTTTAATTTTTCGTATTTTAAAATTTTTAGTTTTGGGATTTTTCGATTTTGCGGCTTCAAATTTACAATTTTTCGATTTTTTGATGGTTCAATTTCTCGATTCTTTTATTTTTTGATTTTTTGATTTATAGATACATATTTCACTTTTTAGATTTTTTGGATTTCTCGATGTTTCAGGTCTTTTTTATTTCTTAGTTTTTCGAATTTTTAAATTTTCGACTTTCAATTTCCCGGCTTTAAATTTTTTGAGTTTTATTTAATTATTCAATACTTATTCCAAGTTTGGATTTTTTCAATTGTTTAATTTCTGATTTTTTTTTTTTTATTTTTCGAGTTCTCGATGATTTTCTGATATTTCAGTAATAAGGTTTTTCAATTTTTTTAATTCTTCGATATTTCGATTCTTCAATTTTTCAAATTTTAAATTTTCCAATAATTTTTGGCGTTTTTAAGTCGATTTTTCGAATTATCAATTTCAATGTTTCAATTTTTCAATAATCGATTTTTAAATTTTTGGATTTTCCAGTTTTTCTTTGTTTCGATTTTTCAATTTTTCGACACTTCAGTTTGGAGATTTTTCGTTTTTGCAATTCTTCAATTTTTTGGTTTCGTAAATTTTACATTTTCGATTTCTCGTCTTTTCGATGTGTCGATTTCTCGATTTTTCTGTTCATTTCTTTTTTATTGACTTTTCAATTTTTTGATTACTCAATTTTTGAATTTTTCGGTTTTTTGATTTCTCGAAGTTTCATTTCACTTCTTCGATTTTTCTATTTTTCAATTTTTCGTATTTTAAAATTTTTAGTTTTGGGATTTTTCGATTTTGCGACTTCAAATTTACAATTTTTCGATTTCTCGATTTGCAATTTTTCGACTTTTTGATGGTTCAATTTCTCGATTCTTTTATTTTTTGATTTTTTGATTTTTTGATTTATAGATACATATTTCAATTTTTAGATTTTTTGGATTTCTCGATGTTTCAGGTCTTTTTTATTTCTTAGTTTTTCGAATTTTTAAATTTTCGACTTTCAATTTCCCGGCTTTAAATTTTTTGAGTTTTATTTAATTATTCAATACTTATTCCAAGTTTGGAATTTTTCAATTGTTTAATTTCTGATTTTTTTTTTTGAGTTCTCGATGATTTTCAGATATTTCAGTAATAAGGTTTTTCAATTTTTTTAATTCTTCGATATTTCGATTCTTCAATTTTTCAAATTTTAAATTTTCCAATAATTTTTGGCGTTTTTAAGTCGATTTTTCGAATTATCAATTTCAATCTTTCAATTTTTCAATAATCGATTTTTGGACTTGGCAGGTTTTCGATTTTTAAATTTTTGGATTTTCCAGTTTTTCTTTTTTCCGATTTTTCAATTTTTCGACACTTCAGTTTGGGGATTTTTCGTTTTTGCAATTCTTCAATTTTTCGATTTCGTAAATTTTACATTTTCGATTTTTCGAATTTTGGTAAATTTCGAAATTTCAGTTTTTCAATTTTTAAATTCTACGACTTTTCAGTTTCAATTTTTTTAATTCAAGCTTTTTAGATTTTTCGTTTCTTTAATTTTTCAAGTTTTTGATTTTCAGTTTATCGATAATTCAGTTTTTTAGGGAATTTTTCAGTTTCTGGATTTTCCGATTTTTCTACACGTTAAATTTTCCATGTTTTAAATTTTAGATTTTTTGATGTTTCGATTGCGGAAGCTGAATCTTTCGATTTTTCGACTTTCTGCGTTTTCAACTTTTCGATTTTTTTAATCATCGAGTTGTAAAAACTTTTTATAATTTGTCAAAAAAACGAGATTTCGGTTTTTTATTTAAATCAATTAGAAACAAATCAAAAATAATAACGTCATGAAATTACAGAAAAACTAGGAGATTTTTGTTATTAAAAAGAAGAAGTTGCAAAAAAATTACGACAGAAAAAACCCGAAAACAAGCTAGAAAAAAAGTGTCAAATTTTGAAATAACGTCATCAAGTTTTCGGAGCGAATGTACAAAAAAAATACAACTTTTTTAGCGGAATAAAGAATTCTGTAGCCTGAGTTTTACATATTAAAATTTGTCGCACCAATGTCAACATTCCCGAAAATTTCCACTGCGCACTTATGCAACCAGCAATACACCCGTTCCGCTGACATTTGACAGTTGTCGAGCTCGACCTCTAACCCCATCGGCTGCGCGATGTGCCCCCAGCTCTGAAAACCCGTAAGTGCCCCCCACTCCCCCAGACACACTCTCAGCCCCCTTCTCCAGCTTTTCAGATATGCTCCACCGCACTCGCAGTCGCCCCCCATCAACCCCCATCTCGACCTTTGACAGTTCGTAAAATGCTCAAAGCCCGCAAAAATGTCCGTATTTTTCAAAAACACCTGTCAGTTTAGCAACTGCAGAAGGAACTTCTTCACCCTGTCAGACTTGATTTTGCACATCGAGGGCGAACATCTAGGTAACCGAATTCCGCCGACTGCGCCTCAACTCAAGGGGCTCTTTCAGATTTCGACCCGTTCAGGATCGAGCGGCTCGAAGAAGAGAAGCCCGAAAGTCTGCCTTTAAGCTACGTACTTAAGTACGGCGGTCCGGACGATGCTCCGCCGGTTTACTCGACTCAAGTCTCTTTTGTGAACGAAGCTGTGATACAACAAGTGGATGACGTTACGGAAATGGTGACGACATTCAATAACAATTACTTAAGTGATTTCAGGGAGGTGAAGGAGAGGAAAGTGAGACTGAACAAGGACGAGTTCTCGCAAGTTTTGGGGTGAGTGAGGGTGGCGTTGGCGACGGGGGCGAAACGTACAAACACAAATGAGCAAAGTCGTAAAAATGCGACGATGTAAAAGAGCAAAATTTGGGTAGTCGGTTGATGATTCATAGATGGCGCTACGAAAAAAAAACTAAAATCACTAGGTGTCCAGCGGTACTCAGACGTCTTGATTTGTGTATACGTTTCGGCACATATGTACCGTTCAGGGTGTTTTTAGACAGAGATAGGCCATGGAAATCTAGTAACCTCTAACGAAAAATGAAATTTATCATGTTAGGTTAAGTTACTTAAGTTACATCCTGAACGGTTTATATTTTGAATAACCAATCACGCTTTGTGTTTGAACCAGAGGTAACAAACTCTTCACTCTGGACCACAGTCACAAGAAGCCGTTCGCTTGTAACATGAAAGGGTGCGAAAAAAGGTACAAGAACGTAAATGGGATTAAGTACCATTACAAGAAGCACCACAAGATGTAAGTCGTTGTGGGCTTAATAGTGAAGAATAATGTTTTTTTGTAGGTTAATCCCCACTTTGAAGAAGAGCTTGCTGAAGCATAAGTCGGTTCTGACCCCGAAGAGCAAGTTCGAGAAGCACGACATGCACGGGGTTCCCCTGTACAGCTACAAGATGGGCAATGACGTCATGTACCAGAACAACCAGATGCACCGTTTCGAAGACTACGACATCCCGAACGAGTACTTCTACAAACTCAACTCTCTGCCTACCTCTGATGTACACTTTTCCTCAAATCAAGTGCCATTACCAAACATGAGCTTTAACTACTATAATATTGCCGAAGTCGGCGATGTTGAGGATTTTTCAGGGAAAAATTCCGGTTTTTTCGTACCCAATTTTGAGAAGTTTTAATTCTGTGATTTGTAGTATTTACGACTGATTAAGTATATAGGAACGATTGTGATAATACTGACAAGTATTAATTCGTTTTTCGTTAGCGTTCGTTAGATTCTCGAATGATTTATTTTTGTTATTTTGAAGTTAGGTTTATTTCCTACAGGACGATGATTTTTGTGTTTGTCGACAGCGCTGGTGTTGTTGTTTTTAAGTTTTGAGAGGTTATGTTCCGTTGACGTCGTCCTGTAGATTACTATCGGGATGTGATAACATGGCGAAAGTCAAAGGTACTGATAATTTAGAGGATTTTTGTGGTCTTTTCGTGTAACTGCGAACAAATAAATGTTTTCTTTGGACTTTTGTTTTTATTGGAAAATGTAAAATATACAAAAACGGAGGCATTAAAAAATCGGATAACTGAAAAATGATAAATTGAAAAATTAGAAAATCTCAAAGTGGTAACATTGATACATCAAAAAATTGGAGAATAAAAAATTCGAAACTCAAAACTGAGAAACGAAACATTGATAAATAGAAAAATTTTAAAGTTGCAAATTCGAAAAATTAAAAAAGAAATAGAAAAATTGAAAAATTAAAAATTGAAAGATCGGAAAGTCGAAAAAGCAAAAAATTACAAATTGGAAAAGCAAAAATTGAAAAATAGGATTGATTCATCAACAAATTTTGTGATTGATAACATGGAGTTTTCTTAATTGGCAATGATAATGGATGTGATGAACTCATATATGGTACTGGAAAATAATGGAAGAACGAAAAGTTACATAAAAATTTTATACTGAAAGTTTTAAAAGAATGAAATAGTAAAGAATGTAGAAAATATATAAAATGCCGTGTTTATAAATTTCTGTAATTTGTCTGATTACTGCCGCCAACAATTTGATGACGTCACCTCAAAATTTTGTACAGTAAAGGTTATTTAAATTTCGAAAAGTCACATACTTCTATAACAGTCGTTTTATTCTTTTTTTATGACAGTTTTGTCCTCTTCTTGTGTTTTTTATGTGGAATTTTTGACAATATTTTGTGATCTTTGTCATTTTTCTTGTCCCTACCAAACATATATGACATTTTTTTTACGAAAAACTCATCACAAAAAAAAATAATTGACAATATCAAACTTTATAATTTTTCTAAGAAACTGGATTTATCTGATTGTAGCTAGTAATACTAAACGAAATAAATCCATAAAAATGGCGCCCGCAAAATCCAGTATGGCTTCTAGCAGCAAAATAACCGCCAATCAATAATAGTTCCCACACTTTTCCCCATTGTCACGACCAGAAAACCGCTAAAATGGCCTTGATGGAACAAACTGGCTGTGAACACTCCCTTATTCACTAATTATCTCGTATTAGTAAGTTTGAAGATCGTCATAATTAAGAACGTCGTTCTAACCTCAATTCGATTTGTTTGCAGGCAACGTGCACCTCGTTCATATGTCAAGATGTATAGAGATCTGTAATACCGACACAAACCTATTCGTCTCTATTTCTACTTAAGTCATTTGTAGATCGTCTCTATCCGCCATAGCCATCTCTCTCTCTCTAGTCATCGTTTGTTACTGCTGCGTCTTTCTCTTCTGCTACTTCCTCATAAACGTATACAGGAAATATAAGGGCCGCACTAAGCGAATCGGTAGGTAAGAAAACACCCGACGCAAAACTAAAGTTTCGTTTCAGACGATCTTCGCGATGTGATTTTGGGCTTTTTAACCCTCACGTTCGTCTGCTGCTGTTGCTTCTTCTTCTTCTGCTACTTCCTTCTCAACGTGTACGAAAAGTGTAAGAGGCGCACTCAAAACAACGGTAAATAAATAAAATCGCTGGGGGTTTTTGAGGATTTAAGACAATTGTTGTAGATGTTGCGGTTTTTTTTGCCAACGTAGAAGCTGCGGGGCCGCCCCGAACGCCGCCCCCAGACTACAACACGGTAGTGTTTTTCCCCCAAAACGAAGCAGCGGGCGTGGGACGAGGCGAAGAAAATGAAGATGAACGTCTTCCAGAAGTGGCTTTAGAATGTGATAGTGTCGTGAGATTTTATCCTCAGTATTCTGATGATCCTCCGACTTACGAAGAGGCTGTAGAAGTCTAGACTTTTATTTACTAGTCGAATAAATGACACTTTAGTCGAGAGTTTTTTGTCAAGTAGCTTTATTTTTTTTGGAAAATGTACAAAAATTTAGGTTTCCCCCATGACTTCTTCGTAAGATGGAATTCTGTTGGTGGCTGAGGGTTGCGGCAGAAATATGGCAACGTTGTAAGCCGGGGGTGGGCTCATGATGACTTGCACGTTGCTGGAGGCGGCTTCAAATCGGACTCTAGCTCCTTCTACAATTTTTTTTTAGTAAATCACCAAATCCTTTCAGACTTACCATAATCATAAACCGTATGGACATTTTCGTGGTAGACATCCCAACAAGCTTTTACACACGTGACGCAACAGATCACAAGTATCACCAGAAACACAGCAAGTGGTCTAAAATTCTCCCTTACATGTATTATCCTTTACACGACTTTTTGTTTACCCTGTATACCACAACAAAGAACAACACCCAGCGTCGCAACAGTACGAATTGTCGGAGCAATTCCGAAACGTGTACTTTGGCCTTTTCTGATTATAAGACTCTTTGACTAAACAGTTTTCGAAGTCGAGAGCTGCAAGAGCGGGCTAAAACTCAAGTCATATCGATTTTAACGCTAATGAAGAACTTACCAATAAAAGAAAAAGGTAAATTAAATGGGTTTTGACGGCGGACATGGTGACCCCCAAAGTTCGTCAGCACGAACTCATTTAATTTTTTGGTTCAAGTAGCGTCAGGAGGAAGAAGGACGTCGTCTACCACTGTCACTTTCATTGATGCGAATGCTTTATTTTGGTATAAAGGATTTTACGACTTTGGTGGAGGCGCCGGAGCGGCGACGACAATACGAAGGGAAAAAAATCAATTTAGGGAAATGTGGGTATTGTTTGTAATTTGAAATACTCAAGGGGCGGTTTTAGCTCAATTCGGATGAATTTTAACTCAAATTAGAAAAAAAGGAAATAGTGAGGGAGCGTGAAGTGGACCGGCGCATCCACCATTTTTAAATATCGTTAAATTTTGAGTAAAAATGGTTTCGACAGAACTTCCCTTGCCACTGAACTGTACGTACTCAAAGCCGCTTCTTTGGGATTTTTGTGTTTTGATAACTTCTGTATAGTAAAAAGCAGTGGGGTAAATAACACTCCCGCAGCTTTTTTGATTTTAATTTTTCACTTGTTTAATTTTAATTTTTTGTTTCTTCAAATTTTATTTTAAAAATCACAATTTCCAAAACGGAAAACTGAAAGACTTACAGAATATTTCAAGAATTTATAAAATGTTAGAGAAAAAAGGATGATTCAAATCTACAAAAATTTTGCAGTTATTTTTTAAGAATCTGCGAAAATTTGTTTTGGAAATCAAATTTTAATTTTGCTATATTTTTTTATTCAAACAAAATTAAAGTGTTTTTTTTTTTTAATTTATATATTAATTTTACAAAAAAAGTCAACTTAGAAACTTAACAAATATTCCAGCTTTTTTCGAATCCAGCGATTTCATAAAAATTCAGAGAAAAATATAACTCAAATTAAAAATCTTGCAGTATTTTTTTTAAAAACTGATTTAAAAGTCAAATATTAATGTATCTATATTACCTCCAAAAAATAAATATTTTTTCAGTTTATTTTTTCAGATAATTTCAAAATGATTTTCAAAAAAGATGAAAAAGTAGTATTTTAGGAAAATTTCAATATTTTAAAGAAAAATCAGAGCGACTTACAGAATGTTCCAAAAATTTATAAAATGTTAAGGAAAAAGATTAATAACACAGGAATGCGTCGAAAGAGAGCGAACACGCAAAGAAACAGAAGTGAAATAAAACGAGATAAAATCTTGAATTAAATTTAATTTACACAAATCGGAATAAAAAAATGTTTAAAACTAGCATTAAGTTTTAAGTTAAATTTAATAAAATTTGAAACTTGCAAGACTTTCGGATGTCTCTAGTCGGATCGATCGCAATCGCCAGTCTGACGCCAATTTTGGCTTTTGCCAAGACACACCGTAACCACTTCCACGATGGTAAGTCGTCGCAGTTTTCGTCTTTTTCAATTAATTCCTTCAACCGTTATTGTAGCGCCTATTAAATTCTTCCACTTCTTTAACCAAATGTTTAACCAAACTGTACGATAATCCCTCAGACACAAACTACACTCTCAACACAATTTACTGCTACACTCTTTGCTGTAGCGAAGGTTGTTGCACTTGGTACATAACACTGTAAATTCGCTACGGTTTCAGTAACCGATGGTTTTATTAAAATATTTTTTCAGATGTGTCTACGCTTCTTTTGTGATAATTCTTGTGTCGTTCTGGTTATTGATGGTTGAGTGTTTGCACAAATATAAAGGGACTGAAAAAAATGTTTTAGTCTCTTCTGGTGAGTACATGAATGTATTTTTTTGAATAGTTTGTGAAAAATCAAAATCTTAGGTTCGAAGAGTCGGAACTATGGAAGCAATAAAAGTAACACTCAGGTGACCCTGCACATATTGCCCACACTTATGCTAGCCCACGTCGTTCCCAAAAATGCTAAACCGCAGCCAAGGAAAACAAATTTTTAATTTAAAATCTATATTCCAGCGGTAATTATATGAATATTTCGGAAAAGCGATAAAATTGTGCGCAGGATTCAGCCGCTGCCAATGAGTAATAAGATCGATAAGTTGTCAAAAATTTTTAATACCTAATAAGCAATAATAAATAAAAAATTGGTCGAAGGTTATTCGACAGAACTTCCCTCGCCCCTAAAGTACAGTCCAACCGTTGATATCAAGGTTTACTAAGAAAATATTTACTAAGGTATCTACTAATAAATTGGTTTATGCTTGCAAAAATTCCGGGTAAAAGACATAAACAAGCTTCGTTCGTTCCACTGACCCATTTTCCCCGTCAAGTTTCTAAATTATTGTAATAGAAGTGAAACTGCCTACATTACGTGCGCAACAAAATAAAAACAACATTTTAGATAACGTAGGTACTTTAATGCTCTTTGGTTAATACTTGTTACAAATTGCAAGTTATCCTTACACTAATAATACAACATGCTTATAAAATTGAATAAACTTTAAAATCTAACCAACAAGTCATAATTTGAATCATATCACGTTTTGTACATCTATCTTTTTTGAAATACTTCCGGTTTGAGCTTCGAACGATCTTCATTATCTTCTAACGCATCTAAAACTAAAGGTATCTTTAGGCAAAGCTAGAGATCCTACAGGAACTGTATAATTCGGACGATCCGTCAGCACCGTATACTTCTGCATCAGTCCTCCCAAAATCCCGAAACTAACTAACTGTACCATTTTGTAACCCATACAACTCCTCCTGCCTCCACCGAACGGCAGGAAGTGATCCGGTTTGTAGAAACGCTCTTCTCTGATGAATCTCTCCGGTTTAAACTTCTCGGGTTCGTCCCAAAGCTCTTCGGACATGCTGAGGTCGTAGTTGTTCAAGAAGATCACCGTACCCTCCTCGACGTGATAACCTAGAACACGCAAAGTGAGCTTTCGTAACGGAAGAATCTAACAGTAGTTACCGTTGATGAAGCTGTCTCGGTTTGCCACCCTGGGGACGATGGGAGAAGCGATCAATCGAATGGCCTCGAAAATGGTGGCTTCCGTGTACGGAAGCAGAGTGCGGTCGGAGATGGTGAGTTCTTTGGACCCCAGAACGCGGTCGATTTCCTCCTGGATTGTGAGCTGGACTTGGGGCTCCTTGGCCAGGAACGCCAGGAGTTTGACTAGGAAGTTAGCCACGGCCGAGTGGCCCCCGATGATGTCTTCCAGAGCAAAAAGCGCCGAGTCCCAAGTCAGGTCCGTCTCCTCGCTCTTCACGTACTTGATGAGACTATCAACGTAATCGTCGGGCTCCGAAGTGGGGTCCGACTCCTCGAACCGGCTTTCGATGATTCTAGTCAGAACGAAATCCCGGATTTTGTGCGTGAGTCGGTTGACCCTCTTCAGATTCCTGTCGTGGAGAGGCATCAAGAACGGAAGAAAATCCGCAGCGTAGCCTTGGTTCACCTCGTAGAAGATGTCGTCGTAGTTGTCCACCATTTCCACGAAGTCCGCGTCGTTTAGGCCGAAGTTTCTCGAGCAGAAGTGTCTAGTGAAGATGTTAGCGCAGCTCCTGGAGATGACCCCCTTGGTGAGGGCTTCCCCAGAGCACGATTCCACGATCGACTGCGCACCCAAACTAATGAGTTCCTCCAGAGAGTAGTACCTGTTGGTGAAGGCCCTCGGGAATGTGTAGGCCTTGAGCATGTCCCGCCTCACCTTCTGTGTGTTGGACCAGTTGCAGAAAGCCAAAGCTACGCAACCACCAGTTACTACTGACCTCTCAGTCTCAACCACCTACTTACAGTTCTCCTTGTCCCCGCAGAACAGCTGGCGGTACCTCTCGAAGTTGGGCCTCGAGTCGAAGTGGTGTCCCTTCGTCACCAACGCCTCCCGGATGTTCTTCTGGCCGTTGATCACAACGCACTTAACGCAGCCCAATTGCAACCTAAACACCGAGCCGAACTTCTTCGCCAGGGCGTCGAAGGCTTGGTAGGGCACCTGGTAGCCGGCCATGAGGTGCAAGTGGCCGATGATGGGCAGTTTCATGGGCTCGGGGGGTCGGAGATCGTCTTTGCGGGTTCGGAAGCACTCGGCGATTGCGAAGAGGGTCGCGATCGCCACGAAAGCGACCAAGTAGAGGGTGAATTGCGTGAGGTGGATGAAGAACATGTTGAGACGCGGACAAACCCACCAGAGAACAACGTTCGGTACGGTGCAGAGACGTCGTCTGGGCTAACACTGCTCTAATCGAGTTTTATACAAGCGATTTCAATAATGGGATTCATGTATGCGGCAGGTTTGAATATCGAATGGGATGGGATGGATGCTGGTGGTGATGGTAATTTTTCGGGGGAAGCGGTTGTTTGTTTGGGAACTGGAGGTACCGGGAAAAGGGGAAATTTGGGGCAGCAGAGTTTCGAAACGACGGGGTTGCGAAGTACTTTTGAAAATGGAGGGATTCTGAGAACCAAGATTGAGTTCGTTCCGTTTGAAAGTGATTAATTGAAGGTGCTGAGAGAGGATGCTAAATTCAAAGTCTAAATCTTATTCTTGAATCTTTGCTTACTGCGAACCACCAAGGAGGTATTGTAATCGACTCTATCATGACCCCCGAGTCGGTCTTCTGTCTGTCAAATTTTCTATAAATGTTGGGAATATCGTGTAGATGGTAAACAGCTAACCAAAATTTGTCTGACCATCATCATCAACAATGGAATAACGTCGTTTCCAAATTTTACAAGAGTAAATGTTATTTAAATTTTATAAAATAACGTACCCTTCTGCTTATGGTTTATGAATCCGTGTTGAGTATCTATATTTTGAACTGTTATTCAAAATTTAACCGTTATCCCCAGTTATAAACGAAATGTTTGGAAAAAAAAATCAAAATTGTATAACAATTTTTGAATTTCTCAATTTTTCGAATACTCACTGTTTCAAGATTTCGTTTTTAGGTTTGTCGAGTTCTTCAATTTTAAGATTTTTCTAATTTTCCATTTCTAGCGTTTCTAAGTCGATTTGTCCGTTTTTGGAATTCTCGATTAATCGATTTTTGGACTTTTCGACTCCTCCGTTTCTCGATTTTTCGACTTTTTGGTTATTTTTTTTATTTTCCCAATTCTAGATTTTTTGATTTTTCCATATCTCGATTTCTCAACTTGTTTAGTTCTCACTTTTTTGATTTTTGAAATTTTCGTTTTCTTGAAGTCTTGATTTTCAATCTTTCGATTTCTCCATTTTTCCATTTTTCAGTTTTTTGATTCTTCAATTTTTTTTATTTTTCAATTTCCCGATTTTTCGACTTGTTTATTTCTCGATTTTTCGACTTTTCGATTTTCTTATTTTTCCATTGTTTGATTTTTTATTTTCTTATTTCACGATTTTTTGACTTTTCGAAGTTTCGATTTCTCAATTTTTCGATTTTTCAGTTTTTCGTTTCTTAAATTTTTCAATTAATATTTCGATTTTTCAGGTTTTTCGATTTCTCAATTTTTTTAATTTTAGATTTTTGATTTCTCGTTGTTTCAATGATTCGAGTTTTCTAGTTTTAAATTTTTCAAATTTTAAATTTTCGACTTTTGATTTTTCGTTTTCTGAATTCTTCAATTTTTTTAATTTTTGAATTTTTCAGTTTTTGATTTTAAATTTTTCAATTTTTATGCTTTTTGATGTTGTAATTTCTCGATCTTTCGATTTTACAATTTCTCAATTTTTCAAATTTTCGCTTTTTGAATTTTTTTAATTTTCGATTTTTCGATTTTCCAATATTTCGATATTACGATTTTTCAATTTTGTGATTTTTTAAATTTTGCCATTTCGATTTGTCGGTGTTTCGAATTCCCAATTTCTCGATTAATCGATTTTTCGACTTTTCGAGTTTTTGATTTTTCGACTTTTTGGAATTTTTTGTTTTCCTAGTTCTCGATTTCTCGACTTTCATGTGTTTCGATTTGTCAATTTTCATTTCTTCAATTTTTCAATTTCTCAGCATTTAATTTTTCAATTTCTTTTATTTTTTAAATTTATTTCCGATTATTCGACTTTTCGATTTCTCGGCAATTCCATTTTTGGGTTTTTTGATGTTTTGACTTCTCGAATTTTCAAATTTTGATTCTTCAATTTCCCTCTATTTTAATTGTGAATTTTTTAAATTTTAAATTTTTCGATTGCTCGAGTTTTTTAATTCTTCAATTTTTTTTATTTTTCAATTTCCCGATTTTTCGACTTGTTTATTTCTCGATTTTTCGACTTTTCGATTTTCTTATTTTTCCATTTGATTTTTTATTTTCTTATTTCACGATTTTTTGACTTTTCGAAGTTTCGATTTCCCAATTTTTCGATTTTTCAGTTTTTCATTTCTTAAATTTTTCAATTAATATTTCGGTTTTTCAGGTTTTTCGACTTTTCGATTTCTCAATTTTCTGGGATTTTTCCATTTTTTGATTTTTTTAATTTTAGATTTTTGATTTCTCGTTGTTTCAATGATTCGATTTTTCTGGTTTTCAATTTTTCAAATTTTTAATTTTCGACTTTTGATTTTTCGTTTTCTGAATTCTTCAATTTTTTTAATTTTTAAATTTTCCAGTTTTTGATTTTAAATTTTTCAATTTTTATGCTTTTTGATGTTGCAATTTCTCGATCTTTCGATTTTACAATTTCTCAATTTTTCAAATTTTCGCTTTTTGAATTTTTTTAATTTTCGATTTTTCGATTTTCCGATACATATTTCGATATTACGATTTTTCAATTTTGTGATTCAATTTTTCGATTTTTTAAGTTTTGGCATTTCGATTTGTCGGTGTTTCGAATTCCCAAGTTCTCGATTAATCGATTTTTCGACTTTTCGAGTTTTTGATTTTTCGACTTTTTGGAATTTTTTGTTTTCCTAGTTCTCGATTTCTCGACTTTTATGTGTTTCGATTTGTCAGTTTTCATTTCTTCAATTTTTCAATTTCTTTTATTTTTTAAATTTATTTCCGATTATTCGACTTTTCGATTTCTCGTCAATTCCATTTTTGGGTTTTTTGATGTTTTGACTTCTCGATTTTTCAAATTTTGATTCTTCAATTTCCCGCTATTTTAATCTGAATTTTTTAAATTTTAGATTTTTCGATTGTTCGAGTTTTCAGTTCTTCAATTTTTCAATTTTTCATTTTTTTTTTAAGTTTTTCGACTTCAAGGTTTTAGATTTTTCAGGTTTTCAATTTTTAGATTTTAAAACTTTTGATTTTTTGATGTTTCGATTTCTCGATTTATCTATTTTTCAATTTCCATTTTTTGCAATGTTCAATTTTTCGATTTCTTAATTTTACATTTTTCGATTCTTCAAAGTTTCGATTTTAAACAAATACAATTACAGTGGACGCCGCTTAATGTAATCACTTTGGGACTCAGACAAATTGATCACACTAACCGACTGATAACAATAAGCGAAAACCACCCTCAGAGACAGGAAAACTTGAAACAAATCAAAATCATGAACAAGAGAGTGTTCATTATGCTGGTAAATGAAGGTACATAAACATTATAATTTATTTTTAATTTTGGTTATCATTCTGAGAAAGGAACTCTTGATTTCCTTTGGTTATTTTAGAAAAAACGGGCTGAAAATTTTTTTTCTCTGATAAGCTGAGATCTCGTCGTTTTGACGTGCTCATTTTTACATAAGTACTACTCAAATTTAAAACAGGAAAAATTCGTTCATTCAAAAGACGAAAACGCGCTGATTACTAAAGTCTGTCACTGATTGTGGCTCTATAAAGTGAGTAGTATAAGCGAATGTAACTTTTGAGAGCAATAAAAGTTCATTAAAAACAATAGTACTTTCAATCATCTCGTTTCTTCAAAAAAGCTTGTATAAGAATTGGGAGATTGATCACAATAAGCGAAATATTGATCACAATAAACGGAAAAACTGTAATGCATTGGTATTGCGTGGGCCCGTTCCAAGCCATTTTGATCACACTAAGCGGTTGATAACATTAACCGTGATCATATTAAGCGGCGTCTACTGTAATTAAATGTATTTTTTTTTTAGAAATTTTCGCTCTAGAGGTTTTCTCCGCTAAACGTCGCTTTTTTGTCGCCAGTTTTTAAAATATGGTCAATCAGAACTGAGGAAGGACGAAACGCTCGGTTTTTATTAGACGAAATGAGCAGTGACGTCAGCGTTATTATGATTCTACTTGTGTAAAAATAAATTACATCTTTTGCGGGATTTCGTAGCCATCTCTGCGTTTCTGTTATGAAAAAAAATAATCGCTGAAAAAGATAAACAAATCCATACGTTAAAGACGGACGGAGTAAAGGAATAACCTTGCGTATGATAGTTAGCATTCGCACTGAATGAAACATTTATGAATGGGTTGCGAGTCAGAAAATTCAGGATTTCAGTGAAACGAAAACGTTCTTTCGGACCGAAAGACGAAAAAAATCGTGCATAAAAAATCGCCTCGGTGACCGTTACGCAACCGCCGCGCCAATCCGAAATTTTAATCAGAATCGAATTGGCCCATTCTTATCAAGGTTAGAAAAAAACCTCGAAATCAGACAAATCGCCGTCCCAACGACTCAGTTCCTCGATTACCCAGTCAGTAGCCGTTTTTGACATAATTCGCCCATTATTAATATTAATATGTCTTCGATAATTCAGCTGATCTTTTTTGCATTAGGTCAGATGGTCACAGGTCCAGCATTTGCATTCGCCCATTCGAGCAAATAGTAAACAATTAAAATACAGGAGTGGCTCGAGGGGCGCGAGGTGCCGGCGGCCGCCGCCAGAGGGCGGAAAACGCGAACCGCACGTGCGGCGCCGGACCTTCGCCCTTCGCGACGTCGGCGCTGGGCTTAATTCAGTCACCTTGGTGTCACCTTCACCTTGGTAGTGATCGAATTTTAACTTGGAGATTTATGTAACAGCCGGTCCAGACGAATTTTTAAGGACCCCATTCATGTAACTCGAGGGGCGTACGAAAGCGGCATTTGCATGATGACGCTCCAGACATGTCTCTGACGTAATTTTCTCTTTCACGTTGTTTTGAGTTTTTTCATAAATTTGAATACTACGTAGACATAACAGGAAATACGTCGGATTTGCTCAATGACATAGGTACCAGCGAGGTGCGGACTACTCCAAAATGGCGTTGACCCATGATGCGGACCTCCGTTCCTGCTCTATGATAATATATGAATTTCCGCCGAAAATTATTATTGATTGGATGGAAGGACTGAGTTTGTACTGATGTTTTATTCATCTATTTTCGTATAAACTCTCTTTGTAAATTTCACCAAATCGGACGTCGAATGCCACTTGAAATATCTTGACAGAATTATTCAATCGCTGTGAATAAATAGAAATTTGTTATGGAGATGGGAGACTTCCTCTGTGAGCTACATTTCATTAAAAACTTTTATGAATTTGTTTATGTGCTAGTGGTGAGAACCAAACAAGTTTAGCATTCATGAAAGGAGGCTCGAATCGGAACGTTGAACGGCAAATTCCACAAACCCGACGAACAAAGACATCGAAATTCAGCTTTACGCATTACTAAAGTGAAAAAGTTGTATTTATTCCCTAAACAAATAAATAATAAATTATAAAATTTGATTTTGCGAATTTAATTTTTTCATGAATACAACTAGAGAAAAAAATTGCATGGATCACTTTTATCTAAAAACAACTTGAACGGTTTATAGATTATCTCTCTAATAAAAATCGGTACAGACGTACGTACTTTTTCATGCTCCAGGGGTTATGAGACGTCAAGAAAACATAAAAGTGGCCATATTCCAAACATAAACGACAACAGGAACTGGTTTTTCGTATTGTAAGAGCTACATAAAACCCCAAAAAAATACTCAAGTTCTGTGATTCTGGCGCTTTCAGTGTTTTTTTGCAGTAAGATTTTCATTACATCATAACTACTACGAATTAATCCACCTATACATAAAAATTCAAAAACAACAATGAAGCCATTTTTAATAAAATCCTTCACAAACCGACTACAACGCAGTCACTTTTAGCATTCATATTATTCCTTCATTATTCAGCGTAGTATTCATTTATGTGCTTAGTTGATGATTTTCAATTTTATCACCTAATAGCCCCCTCGTCCGTGTGCTGCCTACGCACATGATTTTTTTTTTAAATACTCTTCCATTTTGATCTGTAAGTGCACACATCCATGTGTGTTTTTATTGTTGTACTTGCCTTGGACCGGAGTTTGTTGTATTAATTTCCTCGACATAACCTCAAAGGTTGAATGTTTGTTTAAATTATGTCGCTGCAGTTTATTTAAGCTGATAAACACCGCCTTTTTGAAACAAATTTTACTATGTTTCCATTATTTTAGATGCGGTGGAAATGTTTCATAACAAACTCAAAAAAAATCCAGGTTATGCAACACTCAATACATGTCGTGCTTTCAACACAACACGGCTTTTGGCATACATATTTCGAAGTTCACTTTTTTATTAACGCATACTACAAAGGTAAAAGTGCATTAATTAAAATTTGTGATCTCAGTAAGTTAAAAAACCTTTATTAAACATACAGTTGGCGTTGCTTCTTAAACACACAACTCGATTCACCTCGACTGAATAACTGAAGTCTGAAGTGTCGATGTTTTACACAATGTCCTTCGCTGTAAAGTTTATCCATACTTTACAGTATCAATATTTACGTTAAATATGGACAAACTTTACAGTTATAAACATTTTCAGTGAAATCTCGTACAAGTGAACTTCCAACATTCAAGAACTGAAACACTTTGTTTTGTTTGTTTTGTTGTTTTTGTTGGTACTAGGTACTAGGGACCTAAACTGATGAGTTTATTTCGCTATAAAAGCAGCTGTTCATCATTCGAAAATGTTAGGCAACCAACAATGTACCAAAGGTACGATTAATGCCGCCACTATAAAATTAAACTCCCCAGAATATAATTTGTACCACAGACTCCCTGCCACGCCACAGATCGCTATTTCATTGGTTGATGATTGGTTGAAAACACAACGTCAACGGCGAACAGCAACCTCAGCGACAAGTTTATAAATCGACCCTTAAGCATTCGTAATGCGTTTAACGAACAGTTCTGATGTCCAATAATCCAAACCAACCCAATTTTAAAGTTTAAAAATTGCTCGAAATTATCTATAAACTTTCATATATTATGCAACACACAATACAAGACACAGGAAAGTCTTAAATGCGCGTTATTTACAACAATAAGATGTTAATTGACACCAATCTCACACAAAATTAAGCACCGTTCAAAGTTCAAACCTTAACAATCACATAAAAGTGTGCTACGTTGACGAACGGACTATTAAATGTACGAATGTCGAGTGTTAAAATATTGTGTATTGTGTGTTGCATACTCCATGAGCTGGTAGGAAAAATATAGGTTATGGTGTAGTACATATGTTTGTAGAAGTTTTTAAACATTTGAAACAGTTTTAACAACAAACTTCCTGTAAGAAAAGTCCCAAAAATTGTTTAAATGCCTTACAGAAATTTTTATGTAGGTTCGCCAGAGATCGAAATTTTGTAACTATGGACCGTCGTCCACCAAATTATACCTAAGAGCAAATATGGATAAAGAGTTTACTAGTTTTGCAGAAAATAAGAAAACAAACGGTAGCATTTCCTGAAAAATTCTGACATGTATGTGCACACCTCGGAGTTTCCCTCAAGAATACTCATAATTGTAAAGTTTTCGTTATGGCGAACCGCATCAGAAGACACCTTTCATTGTTACAACATTTCATCTGTGGGGGCGCCAACATCGAAACTTTTTACTGCAAAGACTGTGATTTTGAAACACAACTAACAGTTCTTTTTAAGCACCACCTTCAAGAATGTCACGGCGTTACAAGACAAAGTGAAGGTTTAGGTTTCTCCTTTCAGAAATACGTAATTCGAAAGTACATCTGTGAAAAGTGCAATTTTGAAACACATTTTTCGTTTAAATGGTTTCAGCACACTGCATCATGTGTGGGAAACAATGGACGATTTAACTTACGACGACACATACTTATGGATTTTGATGAACCGAGTATTAAGTGGTACCAATGTAAACAGTGTCTGTACAAAAGCAAGTATATAACGACGCTAAAAAATCACATCAATGCGCGTCATTTGGACGGACACGAAATTAAATGGTATGAATGCAAAAAGTGCCCGTACAAAGGTAAACAAATTTCGAATTTAAAAAGACATATTGTGACGCACCACCTGGACGAAAACGGCATCAAATGGTACGAATGCCGAAAGTGTCCCTACAAAGCTAAAGATGGCTGGAATTTAAAAATTCACGTGAATACGCGCCATTTAGACGAACAATACATCAAATGGTATAAGTGTGACAAGTGTTCGTACAAAGCTAAAAGCAATTCTCATTTAAAGAGACACGTGAACGCACGACATTTGCACGAGGGTGATATTAAGTGGTACGAATGCAATAAATGTGCGTACAAAGCTAAGGAAAATTCCGTGCTTAAAAGACACGTAATTGCGCGACATTTGGACGAACAGGATATTAAGTGGTACGAATGTACGCTGTGTCCGTATAGAGGTAAAAGAAATTCTCATTTGAAGAGTCACATTAATGCGTACCATTTAAACGATGAAGACGTTGTGTGGTACCAGTGCGAAAACTGCCCTTACAGAGCTAAAGTTAAGGAATCGAGACATAAGTGTGCCTCATGATGGAATATGTGTTGTGTTAGTTATCGTTTGTTACGTTGTAAGAGAAAATATGTTTTTATAATTAAATATGTTATTTTTCATCTTAAAAGTCGTTTACTTAGTTTAAAACTACGATATTACTGGCTACTGAGTGTGTTCTTGAAAAAGCCATGTTTGTACTAGCGTATTGTCGGTTGCATATATTGTTAGGGGCGAGGAAAGTTTTGTCGAAAAAACCTTTGAGCAATTTTTTAATCAAATAAATATAATCTCTAGTTATAAATTTAATTAAGTTGAGTTATACTTGACATCTTTGTCTCCACGGAAGGAAAGAAAATTAATTCATTCTGTAGAAGGAAATCGTACATAACCTCAACAACGCCAAATATGCAAAACACAATACATGTAGTTTTTTTTCTGGATTTTTTAATAACCATAAGAGAGGATCAAACAAAGTTGTAAAAATATCACCAGATTCTATTAAACACTTTCCCGGCTTCAGTTCAAAAAATGAAAATTACATGATAACACTTATTTTTATTTTACGTCAATAAAAAAATTGTCGTGGTATTAACCCGTAATTATTCACTCCAACTGCTTTTCCCATGCTGTACCAAAAAGTTTTATATTCTCTTCACTGAAATGAAGAGCAATTGCGTGCCTTTTCAAATCATATCTATTTTTGCCTTTGTAGGGACACTTTTCACATTTGTACCACTTGATGTCCTTGTCGTCCAAATGGCGCATATTTTTGTGTCGTTTCAAAGTAGAATTATCCTTGGCTTTGTATGGACACTTGCTGCATTGAAACCACTTCGTATCTTGTTCAGTGGAATGGCGCGCATTTGTATGTTTTCTCAAATGATCCTTTGTTTTTGCCTTGTACGGACACTCTCCACAGTTATACCACTGAATCTCCTTCTCGTCCAAATGGCGCGAAGTGATGTGCGATTTTAAATTAAAACTCTGTTTAGCTTTGTATGGGCACTTCTCGCACTTATACCACTTAATATGTCGGCCGTCCAAGTGACACTTTTTTAAGTGGTTTCTTAAGTCCATATAACCTCTAGCTACGTATGGACAGTTTCTACATTGATTCAACTTAACGTGTTGAGCAGTTATATGCTTTTTTAAATTCGAGCTGTGTTTAGTTTTGTATGAACACTTTTCACAATTGTACCATTTAATGTCTCGTTCATCTGAATGTTGTCCATGTATGTGCCGCTTTAAGTCGCCGCTTCTTTTAGTCTTGAAGGGGCACTTCGTACACTGATACCAACATAATTCATTCGAGTGCATGAAAATGGTGTGTTTTTTCATGGAATGTTTATATTTGAACATGTTCCCACACTGCAGACAATTGTACCAACTGGTGACATTTCTTTTGGGCAATCTGGTGTAATTGGATATTTCTGAAATTTCCTCATCACTCAGACAAGCCGAGCTATGTTGAAACCACTTGATAGCAAAGTGGGTTTCAAAGTTACATTTACCACAAATGTAGTTGTGAATGGCAAATTGTGAATCTTCTTCCCGTTTCCTACAATGTATGTTAACGTGTTTTTTTAAAACAATGATTAAGTCTGTTTGAAAAACACATTCCTTGCAGTGGTAGGTTTCTACAACGGCATTTCCGCATTTGAAAAGTGGCAACGAATTTTTCGGAGACCTTAAGCTAGCACCAAAGTCCCCAGAATTGTCCAGAATCGACATTTTGCTTCCTAATTTGTTAATTATCGTTTTAGTATGGTACAACTTCTATGTGTTTACTTACCGTTTGATTTATAACCTCAAAAATTTCAGGTCCACTCTGTTGGGTAAAGTTCATAATTAATTACACCATTCGGGCGGTTTTTGTTTTTTTTTTGTTTCCAAGTTGTCGAAAATTTCTTCAAATCGAAAAAATCAAACTTTTAAAACATCCCATAACCTCAAACTTGTAATATATGCAACACATAATGCAGTTTGACTTTTGTCACCGAAAGTAATAAAACATTTATTTTATTTCCTAAAATCTCTGATTAGTTAACCAATAAAACCTACGACACAACTATTGAACATACACTTTTCTGGTGTTTGTAATACTTAAATTTTTGAAAAAAATCGAAGAAACTAACCTCAAAACCTCAGAATTTTGACATTGCATATGCAACACACAATACACTTGTGGCTTTTATATGTATATATTTTCGCAAATACATTAATAAATAAAACATCATTTAACAATATTATCACTGAAATCTAACGATTATCTTTTGAATTTGTAAATCAACAACAACAAAATTCAAGAACAGATTATTTAATATCCCGTTCTTCCTTATGGCGTGCATTTACGTGGTACTTCAAGTGATGTCTCCCTTTAGCCTTGTATGGACACTTTTGGCATTCATACCACTTAATGTCCTTTTTGTCCAGATGCTGATTCGAGAAGTGGCTTTTTAAATGCGACTTACTTTTAGCCTTGTATGGACATTTTTGACATTCGTACCATTTAATATCCTTTTCGTCTAAATGGCGCGCGATCACGTGATCCTTCAAAGTCGATCTGTCTTTTGCTTTATACGGGCACTGTTCGCATTCATACCACTTAACATCTTTTTCATCCAAATGTCGATTCTGTATGTGCCTATTCAAGTTCGACTTCTCTTTAGTTTTGTATGTACATTGATCGCATTCGAACCATTTGATGTCGTCCCTTTCATCCGTGTGTCGTATTTTCATGTGTCTTTTTAAATTGTAGTTGACTTTAGCTTTATACGAACACTTTTCGCAATTGTACCACTTGATATCCTGTTCGTTCATGTGCAGTGTCTTCGAGTGCCTGTTCAAGCTCGCTTTTTCCTTGGTTTTGTATGGGCACTTTTCACATTCGTACCACTTGATGTCTTTCTCGTCTATGTGGTGTGCGATTATGTGTCGTTTCAAACGAGAACTTTCTTTCGCTTTGTACGGGCACTTTTCACATTTGTACCATTTAATGTGCTGCAGATCGGTGTGTCGAATATTCGTGTGGTTTTTCAAACTCCACTTGTACTTGGTTTGGTACGAACACTGATCACAAGCATACCACGTGCAAGCGTCGTTCTTGGCACAAAAATTCACGCGGGGACCCCCCTTACTTTCGGAACATGTCACAGTGTGTTGCAACCATTTGAAAAGAAAGTGTGTTTCGAAACTGCACCACTTACAACTATAATTTTTGATGGCGTATTCTCGTAATAATAAAACCCGGTTTTCTCGGTCAACGTGTTTTAGAATGTGTTGTTTGAAATATAGTTTTAGTTGTGTTTGAAACTTGCAGCTGTTGCAGTAATAACTTTCGATGTTGGCGTTTTCGCAGTTGAAAAAGGTCATCGGTGAGTGTTCTTCTTTCAAGGGGAGACCTTCATGAATGAACTTCGCTGAACTTGACATTTTTTCGTCCTTAAATTCATTCAACGTTTAATTTTTACGGCACTGAAGTCATCAATGGGTCTTTTCTTACCTTAATAACTTTATTCGGGCTTAAATGTCATGAACTCTATTCTTCGACTCGAGTAATTATTTGAGTTTGCAATGACTGAAGTAAATTTTTCCAATTATTAGAAATGTTTTGAATATCTAATAAATTTACTAAAATTTTTGTCCAGTGCATAACCTCAACACAAAACCCTCCCCTCCTAAGTCTGAAATGTCAAATTTGGTTACATACTCTGTGGTTACATCGACAAAAAAATCCCCAACTGACTATCCACGATTTGCAGACATGATCTTTGGTGAATAAATTGGTTTAATGTATCTTGGACCTGTTTTGAATGCATGAAATTATTGTTGATCCCTTGTTCGACATACTCTTCAATGCCTAGGACGACTAGTATTTATTTGAAATTTTTTTTTATTATAATCTAGAGACTTTTTTTGATAAAAGTTACTAGATTTGACGTAAGTTATCAGTTATCACATGACCTGAGGGGCGAAAAGGTTATGTTCTGTGGTTATATTTATGCAACAAAATCCAACAATACAGGTGATATTATGTCGCCAGTAGTAAGAAAAGACACTTTCTGTCGTGAAATGGAATGCTTAACTGCTTTTCTCTCAAAATATAAGGTACTCGTTATTTTTAAACTGAATAATTTGCTAAAATCTCTTCACTCTTCCAGCTAAACCAGGACGTCAATTCGTGAATATTTTGACAACATTTTCGCAAATCGGACAATTTTGTATAAAAACGTGCACAAATGTAAAGTCTGCACTCATCTTATGCAATTACTTTCCCCAATGGTAAACCACAACACCGCAACATCTTTTGACTGTGAAAATTCCAAAATAGAAACTTACTTCTGCAAAGATTGCAACTTCCACACAGAACTAAACCTCCTCCTCAAGCAACACATTAACGAACATCACAACGTTAAAAATGGAAGTGAAGCTTCATCAAACCGATACAGAATTCAAAGATATAATTGCAAAAAATGCAACTTTGAGACACATTTTGTACTTAATTGGCTCCAACACACAACAAAATGTTTGGTAAATCCAGCAGTAATGAAAGCAACTGAAAGAAATTTTCTCGCGTGGCACAGTTGTGCTCAATGCAAGTTCAAGACCCAATTTAAATCAAATTTAGCGAGGCATAAAATTCTGAAACACTCTGGCGACGACGAAGTACCTTGGTATCGGTGCACAGAGTGCCCATACAAAGCTAAACTGAAAAGTCTTTTAAAGCAACACTTATACGCTCGGCATATGGACGAAGACGTCGTTAAAAAATTCCAGTGTAAAGAGTGTCCGTACCACGCTACAAGTAACGTTCACTTAAAAAGACACATAACTGCGAGACATTTAAATGAACAGGACATCACGTGGTACGAATGTGACAAGTGTCCCTACAAAGCTAAAGGACACTATCGTTTAAAAGAACACATAATTACGAAGCATTTCGACGAAAAAGACATCAAGTGGTACGAATGTGAAGAGTGCCCATTCAAAGCTAAACAAAAGTCGGCTTTGAAAAGCCACATAAACGCGCGACATATGGACGAAGACGACATCAAGTGGTACGAATGCAAACAGTGCCCATACAAAGCTAAGAAAACGTACAATTTAAAACAACATATAAATGTACACCATTCGGGGGAGCGAGATACAAAGTGGTACGAATGTGGAAATTGTCCATACAAAAGCAAATTTAACTTTGCTTTGAAAAAACACGTGAATTCGCTACATGCGGATAAACTGAGTGTCACGTGGTACAGATGTGATAGCTGCTCGTACAAAGCTAAGTCAAGCTCGACTTTAAAAGCCCACTTGATTGCACGTCATCTGGATGACAAGGATATTAAGTGGTTCGAATGTAAAATGTGTCCATATAAAGGAAAAAGAAATTCGCATTTAAGGAGGCATGTACTAGCACGTCATTCAAATGAACAGGATATTACATGTTTGAAGATAAACACGATTTTGTGATATTTATATTTTCACGTGTCATCTTGTAAATAAATACGTTAAATTAATAAAATGGTTTCTTTTTTCCGTATATAACACTGCGAAAATTGTATGGACTTGTCACATAATTTTTACCTGTTTTGTTGAATAGTTGGTTGCCTATCTTACAGGCGATTTTAGCCTTTTCGTTAAGGGGGAACGCTAGACGAGAGACAAGTTTGAATTGGGCGCCATTTGTTGCCTTAAACGCAAAAAATGAAATATACTTAAAATAGACAACAAATCTGAAAAATCGAAAAATCAAAATACCCAAAAATCGAAACATTAAAAAACCAAAATATTAAAATATCTGAAAATTGAAAATCCAGAAATTGAAAAGTTCTCAATATTCAAATCCTGAAAAAATGAGTATTGAAAACTTGAAAAATTGAGAAATCCAAGCATCAAAAAATAGTAAAATCGAAAACTGTAAAATTTAAAAAATCCAAAAATTGAGAAATAAAAGAAAAGAAAAATCAAAAATTTAAAAATTGGAAAAATTGAAAAATTAAAATATCGAAAAATTGAAGAATTGGGAAATCGAAACACCAAAAAAATAAAAAAAAAAACAAAAATTTAAAATTCAAAAATCAAAAAATTGAACACTCGAAAAGCCAAAAAGTCGAAAAATCGAAACATCGGAATGTTAAAAATTGAAACATTGAGAAATCAAAACATCAACAGTAGAGGAGTCAAAAAATCAAAAAATTAAGAAATCAAATTAGACGAAAATTGAAAAATCGGAAAGTTAATAATTGAAAAATTCAAACATTTTAATTCAAAAAAATCGGTAAACCGAAAAATTGAAAAATCTAAAAATCGAGAAATTGAACAATCTAAAAATTAAACAATTTAAAAATCGAAGAATTGGAAAACCAAAAAATCTAAACCGAGAACTTGAAAAATCGAATAATCGAGAAATCAAAACATCAAGGAAAACAAAAAAATTAACGGAAAATCTAGAACTTAAAAATTGAAAAATTAAAATACCTATCGAAAAATTGAAAAACCGAGAAATCGAAACATCAAAAAATGGAAAAATTGAAGAACCGAAACATTGCAAAATCCCAGAACTGAAATACTGAAAAACTGAAAAATGTAAGGAAAATTGAAAAATCGAAAAAGTGAAAAAATTCAAAACTGAAATCTTGAAAAACTGAAAAATGAAAAGAAAATTGAAGAATCGGAAAAGTGAAAAAATCCAAAACTGAAACATTGAAAAATCCAGAAATCGAAAGATTGAAAAATCACAATTGAAGAAATAATTGAAAAATCGAGAAATAGAGAAATGGGAAAATCAAAAAATCAGTTAATCGAAAAATTGAGAAATCGAAAAATGAAGAAATTCGAGAAACCGAAAATATGAAGAATCGATAAATTGAAAAATCCCAACAGTAATATGTCGCAAAATTGGGAAATCGAAATCGAGCAAAACCGAAGTATCGTAAAGTTAATAAATTGAAAAACTGAAAATTTTTGAAAAAAAAAATCGTATCAAAAACAAAAAATTCAAAAAATCGAGAAATTGAACAATCAAAAAATCAAAACATTGAAATCCCAGTAAGTTGATAAATAGGACAATTTAAAAAACAAAAATTTTAAAAACCCAAGAATTGAACAACAAAAAAAATTTAAGCCTGAAAACTCACAAAATCGAATGATCGAGAACTCAAAACGTCAAAGAAAACAAAAAAGCTAAAATTTAAAAATTCGACAAATTGAAAAATCATGGAACTAAAAAATCGAAAAGTCGAGATAGTGAGAAATCTAGAAACCTAAAACTTCAAAAACTGAAAAATTAGAATATCGAAAAATTTAAAAACCGAGAGAACACAATATCAAAAATTTGAAAAATTGAAGAAACGAAATATTGCAAAATTCCAAAGCTGAAATATTGAAAAATCTAAAAATGGAATGAAAAAGAATCGAAACAGTGAAAAAATCCCAAACTGAAACATTGAAAAATTGAGAAATGGAGAAATGGGAAAATCAAAAAAATTGGTCTAAAGAGTTTAGACAGTATTTCACCCGCTATCGGAAACGTGACGACTGCATGCCTATTCTGTTTTTTTTTCACATTAGATTTCAAAGCATTCGGTTTTGTAGTTCCTGATTAAATCAATAAAATAAATTTGCGCATTCATTAAATTTTTTGAGTCACCCTGTATATCCGAATTCAAAAAATATGAATGGAATGATAAATTACAAGAAGAGACTCATCATATTTTGTACATTTTAAATAGAATTCGGCAAACTTTTGCGCTGACGTGATCAATTTTTTGGAGAGGATAAGCAAATATATTTTGACTAAAAATTTATTATGGTCTTTATAACCTTAAAACATTTGCAAAATTTCAAAGCTTTGGGTTCTGTAGTTCCTGATTAAATCAATAAAGTAAATTTACGCATTCATTAATTTTTGGGGTCATCCTGTATATGCAAATCCAAAAAATATGAATGGAATGATAAATCACAAGGAGAGACTCATCATATTTTATACAATTTAGATAGGATTTATTCAGCAAAATTTTGGTGTGGCGTCATCCATTTTTTAGGAGGGGATAAGTAAATATATTATTGTGATTAAAACGGTCCTGGTTTAATAAGAAAAAAATATTGTTCGTCGATGAAACACACTCGTCTTAGACAAAGTATTCGTAAAAAAAATTTGTCATAAAAAAATGTACGTATGCTGGTCCCGACTGCGATTATGGTTTAAATATTTTTTAGATAATCCTGACATGGATGTAGAAACATTTGTGACAGCCAAAGAGGTTTTTTTGAGAAAATTATCTTTGAATTTAGACAAAATTGAAATAGACACTAGGCAACAGGCACATTTGGGCAAAAGAAAGAGAAATTAGGGTTACGGCTTCAAATTTTGGACGTATTTACAAACCTAGACCAACTACAACAACAGCTAGAACTGTGGAGTTTCTGTTGTACAGTACATTTAAAGATAATAGTCATACATACTATGGACAACAAAGTGAGGAAAGAGCTGTCAAGTGTTTTGAAATAAATAAAAATATAAAAACTGAACGGTGTGGCTTGTTTATTTCAAAACAATTTCCTAATTCCTTACTTGGCTGCTAGTCCAGACAGGGTTCTAGAGGATAGGAGTGCATTAGTCGAAATTAAATGTCCTTCAAAATCGCAAGATTTGTCTCCCGAAGAAGCGGTTAGAAAAAGAATAATCAAATTTTGTACATTGACAGACAGAGAATTGAAACTAAAAAAAATCATGACTACTATTTTCAAGTCCAGGGACAAATGCTTGTTACGGGTATTTCACAAGTTTATTTTGTTGTGTGGACACCCAAAGGAATAAATATAGAAAAAATTTTGGTATAAAGACGAAGAAATATGTAAAAAGATGGTAGATAAACTTGGCAGATTTTACTTTGGCGCATTATTGCCCGAAATAATTGATTCAAGAAGAAAAAGGAACCTGCCTTTGCGAGAGATTTTTTTGAAATATATAAAATTTGTTTCTATTTTTTTATGTACTTTAATAATTTATTAGGAGTACATCTTTCATCACCAAGACTTGCATATTTTTATTATAAATATATTTTGAAAATGATCTCTCGGCAAATGAAAACATATACGAGCACTTTTTTCGAGTAAACAATGAAGGGAGAAGTTACTGGGCGTAGGGCTTTTTTAAAACACCTCCTTTCTGGGATAAGTAGTAGATACACTTAGCTACTTATACGTGTTAAACAAAAGCTGTATTTTATATATTTTTTATTATTATTATAAATATGTTTATTAGTTTTATTAATTAACAAAGCAAAATATGTATGTATTAACAATAATATTACAATGAATTTTTAGTAATCATGTGTATTGAATTCAGGATCCTGAGTGGAGTAAAAATATTATAGTTCCCCAGTTTTAATTCGGTTTTATGATAGTACCTCATTGCGTAAAAGTTAATTTCCTTAACAACAGATTACTACGGCCGGTCCTGGCAGCTTGTTATAAAACTGATCTCCTTGCCATAAATTAGAAAAATCAGCCGAGAACGCTAACAATCAGCTTATGGTAGAGCAGGCGATAAGGGTTTTACCTGGAAAGTCGCTTCCGTAAATCTCCTATCTGTAAAGTACTGAACTAACGGCTCAAAATCTGTCGAATTGATACCCATTTTTTTCAATAATTGTTAGTTTTTGTTAAAAACTCTGCTAACCAATAGATCAGTAATTTTCCTCTAATATTCCTGTTAAAAAAATTCGACGTATTTTGCATTAATTTGTGGTATATTTTGATTTTAATAAACACATTATTGTTTAAACAAATTGTACCACTAACAAACATTTAATGACTCTGCGGCCTGTAAAAAGTGATGTTTTATCCATGTGCGAATTTTCAAGCGATTCTATGATGGTTATGACTCAAAAAACTTGAAAAGAAAACATACAATGGTGCTTTTTTTACGATATTTCTCAGCCATATTTTTTTAATTGATTGAACTGGTCTCTGCGCTCTAGAATATGAAAAAAGCTGCAGTTTGATGTTTGATGTATGATACATCTATATTAATATAATTTTTTCATACAAAAAACCAAAAAAATGTTATACCTCGTCTAGCGAGTCCCCTTAACCGGTCTTTGTTAATATACAAAGACGTTTTTCTGAAGATTCGCGGAACGACATTTCAGTTTACCTAAAAGTTTCGAAAAATTTAACAAATTTCTTAACCTCGTCGAGCTTGACAGTCCAGAAAATAGTGGTTTTTGTTTCTAATAAAAAAGTAACCAACTTTGACATTACTAACCTCAAACTTCTTTATTAGTTATTAAAAAACGATGAGGTGAGATAACGGGACGAAAATGTTGTTTTTGCTACTAGTAATCGGTGCTGTGACTGTAAATTGTGATAGTTTTAACCCTACATATGTACGTTTAAATTATAGTGATTATTATGACTTCAACATTAACAAGTCGGTTGAGTACATCCTGGACTTTGCGGCTGAAGAGGTATTTTTTCGGAGCGTTCATTGCGACGACTAAATTTATTTCTTCAGCTAATATATCCACCGAGAGTTTCCATAAACAGCAGCAATGCCGATCTCTCCACCCCCTTGATGGTAGTTGCAAGGCAACCAAAAGAGTTGGTGTCATGGCAGCTGCCCATGATCCTGGAGAGCGATTCGGGCAACAACAATTTCACCAAAATATCCCGGACGTTGTGTCATGACATGTACCGACGTTATTTGCCCAAAGGTCGGTTTGTCTACTGCCAATTCTTAATACATTCGTATTAAGAACTTGAAGTTTAAGGGATGGGAAACGTCAGGGTGGATAGCCCCATCGTCAGCGTTGCGACGGCTTCAGAGAAAAATGTGACTTTTTCTGTGAAGGTAGATTACCAAGAAGACTTTTTTATTCAGCCTTCTATACAGTATAACTTTACTATTACGCCGAGCGAACCGAGGTATTATTTTTACAATTTTTCTACTAATGTGTCAGAGGAGGTGAACTCGAACTATGAGACTGTTATATTGGAGGTGTTCTCGAACGATTTCGTTTGCATGACTGTCAGTATTCAGAATGCTAGCGTAAGTATGAGAGAGGTCCAGAGACACTATAATGCTTTCAATTGTTTTGTGTAGTGTCCTGTCTTTGATACCAATCAGGATATCACGTTCAGGGGCTTTTACGAGACTGTTAGTACACAAGGAGGGATCACAATACCTGTGAGTTTAATTTTTTGTAAAACCCCAACCAAAATCATCCCCACCAACAATTTGATGACCTCATCTCAAAATTTTGCTGAGTAAATCCTCTGAAATATGCAATATTATGACTCTGTTTTTGTGGTTCAAATTAATGAATGAGGCAGTCAATTGTATTAGTTAAATTAAGAACGACTCTAGAGGAATTTGTTTGGCTACGCTTCAGGGCGACGAAATTTTTACCAATTTTTTATGAGTAACCTTGATTTTGTTTCTATTTGGTAAACATAATAAAGTAATTATGGCCTAACTGAAGCGTACACAGAGCGTAAAACTGTGCTGAATATATTGATTTTTCCCGATCTTTCAGAAATATAAGTTTCCGTATGGTTTCTTCGCCGTCTTCGTGGCAAAATCCGACGACTCCGACTGCCTCGGCTCCGCCGGCATCTCCATAACCAACCGCATGAAATCGATAACCCTCATCGTCAAACCGAGCATTTCTTACGAAGATTACGTCAAGGCAGTCCTCGTGACTTTGGGTTCCATCGGTGCCTTCTACTTTGTTTTCGTTGCGGGTTTCATTTTCTGTTCGAAACGCAGCTACGTGCCAAAGCAAATGGAGTACGTTAGCTGCGAGGTGCCGACGCCCAGCACGACGTGTACGTATTTGCATTCCCTGGGGCACCCGGATAGCGCGGGCCTTTTTCCAGGTGCCGAAGCCGCTGACGACATCTCGCTCGACGAAACCGAATATGACGTGGTCTCGGAATCCGACCAAGACAGAGGCATTCGGTTGAGGAAATCGGTGATTTATTTGAGCGATCTGGCCAGGATGGATCCTCGGGTACACAAGTACAAGTCGTATTTGTACCTCTACAATGTGCTAACGGTGGCGCTGTTTTACGGCTTGCCCGTCATACAATTGGTGGTGACGTATCAGAGGGTCTTGAACGAAACAGGACAACAGGATCTTTGCTATTATAATTTTCTGTGTGCACATCCCGTCGGGGTGATCAGCGATTTTAATCACGTGTTTTCCAATAGCGGGTATGTGCTGTTGGGACTTCTGTTCCTCGTCATTACATACAGGAGGGAGATTTTGCACAAGGACTTAAATTTTGACAGGGTATGCAAAATCGCTGTTTTTTTTTTGTAATCGAAATTTTATACTATTAAAGCAATATGGCATCCCGCAACACTATGGAATGTTCTATGCGATGGGCGTGGCCCTGATGATGGAAGGAGTTCTTTCTGGAAGCTACCACGTCTGTCCAAACAAAGCGAATTTCCAATTCGGTGAGTTCGTAATGCGGACAAATTTCCTGACAATTTTTCTCAGACTCTAGTTTTATGTATGTGATGGCGGTCTTGTGCATGGTCAAGCTCTACCAAAACCGTCATCCCGACATCAACGCCACCGCTTGCGCAACCTTCGGCGTCTTAGCCGTCGCTATCTTGCTCGGAATGATAGGAATTTTAGAAGGAAATCTCTACTTCTGGATTATCTTCACGATCATCTATGTGTCGTCTTGCTTGTATTTAAGTATACAAATATATTACATGGGGTGTTGGAAATTAAGTATGTAACGGTAACATGTCGATTTTAGCTTTTAAAAACTACCATTTCAGACAAAGATCTCGTAATTGGAGTGTGGCGTACGTGTGTTTATGAATTCGGATCTGGACCTCTGAATGTAATCAAGCCCATACATACAGCCCGGATGTGTTTACTCGTTCTAGCTAATTTATGCAATTGGGCTTTAGCAATCTGGGGCTTCTATGGCCACCAGAAGGACTTTGCTCTCTTCCTTTTAGCAGTTTTTATGGCGAATACGTTATTGTATTTCTTCTTCTACATCATAATGAAGGTAATACAAACACGTGGAAAAACTAAAAATCACGTTAATTTTTCAGTACATTCACAAAGAACGTGTGAATAAATTAGCCTGGTTTTTCCTGGCGCTTTCGTGGTTGTGTGCCGCTTCAGCTATGTATTTCTTCCTCCATAGAAGCATCTCTTGGTCTGTAAGTATCCATATTGGTTTTGGAAAATGCGTTAGTAATTTTTTCCCTAGAAAACTCCCGCAGAATCGCGAAAATTTAACCAAGAGTGTGCGTTTCTAAGATTCTACGACTTCCACGATATTTGGCATTTTTTGAGCGCAATAGGGATGTTTTTCACTTTTATGGTTCTGTTAACTTTGGACGACGATTTATCTCATACTCACAGGAGTAAGATTATCGTATTTTGAGAATTTATTTTGTACTTTCCGCTACACTTGTATTGACTGAATAGGCATTAAAACTCACCTCGTGCTTTGTAGTTTTATTTGAAAACGTACAATCGTTTTAAACTAGATCTGGAATGGGACAAGCGATCTTCTACAAAAACAAAACAAAAATAGTAACTCCCCAAATCACTTTGGTTTTTATTTTACCTTTTCGCAATTTGGACACTGGCCGTGCAGCTGGTTAAACATACGTTTGGAATTGATTGAAGTAAGCCACTACGAAATTCTATTACAAAAAAAAAAAAAAACAACAAACCCTTTCTTTACCTCATATAAACACTCAACATGATAGTGGTTTTCACAGCACTTATTTTCGCATATAATTTCGGGCAATTTATCGTTCAGACGCAACGAAAAACATATACTGCACTCCCCAGCGTCCATCAACGTAACTCTATCCTGCCTGGGCTTCACAGGGAATGTTTCTAATCCTGGAATCAACCGATGAAAAACAAAATACCCCAATCAGACGTTTCACCTAGAATGTTCAACAATTCTTGCACAAAATTCTTCTTTTCGTCCCAATCCTCAAGCTTATCACCAAGTTTTTCAAACCAAGGCTGGACCACCCGTTCGGGACCTAGAAACTTTAGTTCCGGTCGAGATTTTACGTTCGCGAGATTTACGATAACCATCACCGACAAATTCTGATCTGCAACCAAACCATGTGTGCTTGATACCACAAAAAAAATATTCACCAAGCCATATTCTACGATAGCAATCGCGTCTAGTTGGCACTTCTGGGTCCAAAACGCAGCAACTTCTGTCCAGGTCGTCCATGACGTCAAAGAACGGTTGCAGATCTTCTATTGCTGCAATAAATTTGCTGTAGATCTCCGTCAAGTAAGGAAAATTCGTGGGGAAGCTATTCGTCACTTGCTCAGGGAGATTAAGACCGAGTGGTATGAAAATGGCCGTTTCGTTCCAGTCGACGGCAATATCTAGACCGTGCTCGCGGCATCCTTCGTCTACTGTCGTTACGTGTATCTTTGATAAATCTGACGAGATTTGGCACTTTTTAATAGTCAAGTGGAATCCTGTAAATTCTGAGTATTCTTGTAGAATTCTTCTATACGCTTTCGTTAAATTTTGGGGAGGTTTTCGGTCGGGTTCGTTCTCCAAAGTTGTAACGATTTTGTCCACAAATTCTGTAATTTTCGGGGCGGTTATTTTGGACAAAGCGTCATCGATTGAGCCGCCATAGATCGTTTTCAGCTTAAAAGTTGGATTCTCACGGACGTTTTCTTCAACCACGTGTAAATCTATGTCGTGGTTCTGTGAAAGGATAAATTGGATTTTGACATGCTTTTCATACTGTTGAAGGGATGTAGGTTGTAATAATTGTCACAGCCATATTTATTAGAAACAATCTTAACAGTTTTAGCGAACATGGGTGGAGTGCATAGATACAAACAAACAATACCACACATAATATTTTTGTTATCCACAACAACCACAGTTTAAAATATTGTAATGAATTAAAAAAATCAGTTTTTTCGATTCTGTACACGGAGAAAATAAATTAGCCTTGAAACTTGTACTTGTGTTACAAATATTGAGTGTTACTTGTTGACCGAATTGCATCTCTGTAAATACACAATCACCATTTCTGTTTACCACTGATTTAAACAATAAATACTCCATTTCCTTTTATAACACTCAGTTAAATGTGTCTGATGAACAACGTTTATATACACTTCCTATTACATACTAAATTTATTATCTCTAATAATACACAAAGTGACTCTCGTCAGTCACACAATCGAACCAACTTATTACTTAAACAATGTTACTACTATTGTCACCTGGATGAAAAATAAAACACAAATACCAAAAAATCTGTTTCGAAAACACTGGTAAAGCAAAAATCATAACATAACCTCAATCCTTAATTTACCCCGAACAAAATTTTGCCGACGTAATGTTTCGCCCCATCCTGGGTGTGGCACGCCAGCAGTGGATATTTCAACAGCAACTCCAACTCGCTTTCCTCCATTTTCGATAAATTCGCCATTCTTCTTGTTCACATTCAAAACAACCACAATGTTGACATTTTACAACGACAGATGATAAATTACCACTACCAACCTAACCGCTGCCAATCCATTCCACAAAAATTCCTAACCGGTTGACGGCGTGCCATCCGCCAATACCCGAGTCGCTAGCTTGTGAGAGTCCACGTAACATCACAAGTTAGGGTCTCAGGGAATAGGCAAATTAAGCCTCTGCACAATACAACAACATCATCAACAAAATAAAAACATCATATACAACTATCGACTAAAACCCATTTTCGTCGTCTTCCGGATGAAAGAGCCCGAGTCTGGGAAAGTTAGCAGGCTGTACAGCACTCCCAATAGGTGTAATACTTACTATACAACCTACTACCTCAAGCAGACCCCGCCACAAGTGCACGCTTTCGCCGTCAGGTGTCGCTCCATTCGCCGCACTTTCTACCAGCAGGTACCCATAAAAGTGAACTTGTGCTCGTAAACACACAAGTTCGGATCTACGGGTTCCACCGGATAGAAAAACCTCCAGCTGATCGTCCGGGAGCGCTCGCTTCCATCTGCAACGAAAGAGACGTTGTACAGTCGTAAAGCAAACACCCACGTGGGGAACCATGTGTGTTTTATGGAGTATGGGTATTTTTAGTGTTTCGACACAGTTTCGACCGGCGAGTGCAAAGGAGAGGTGGCGTTCGGTCCGTGGGTACCGATCTTGTGGTGGAACTTTACGGGCAAAAAGAAACACCATAAAAAAGAGAGGGACTTATCGAACATTTTTTACAAGCGTTTTCTGCAATCTACCTCTTTTTTTTTGCAAATTATATCGCTATCAAGAACATTTCAGATTAACTTTTAATTATACAAACCCTAAATTTGTGCATTAAAAGGTAAAATGCAATTGTTTTTCCTATCTATCGAAAAGTTGAATGATACCTTTTTTGTACGTATCGGAACCAGTTGTACCAAATGTTCCAAAAAAGCCCTCTAATTAGCCTTGACATTTATTTTCAAAACAATAATGTTGGCACCGTAACTGCTAAACTGAACAAAAAACGCGTTTGTGTTTACAAATTTACAAAATATTTTTCAACATTGCCATGTTTCAGAAATTAGATACTCTTCAAAATTTACAGCAGTAAACTTGTTTTTATTGTTATATACTCATGCATTTGTGGTGTATGAATCTGTGTTGAGTTTTCACACTACACACCCAATTTTTGGGGAAAGAAATCAAAATTATATAACAACATTTTGCAATTTAATTCTCAATTTGCAAATCTTGCAAACGTTTTAAGGTTGTAAGCATGGTAAATTGTTAATTAAAATTTATTTGTTGATCCTCTCTCAAAAAATCGATGACATCATCTCAAAATTTTGCCGAATAAATCCTCTCGGAAATATGCAAAATATTATGACTCTATACTTGTGGTTTATCAATGCACTCACAGTTTTTAGAATCACGTCATCACAATTGTTCTGAAAAAATACATTTGAAACGAACGCGTAGCACGCTTCTTTACATCCACTTTAACATTATTTATTTTAATTTATAAGTTATTAAAAAAAAAAAATCGCAAAATTAAAAAAACTTATAATTTATCGAAAAATGTGGATCGATTTACCTTCGACCAATTTTTTGATTTTTCATTTTCTTAAATTTTTAAATCCTCCAATTTTAAAATTTTTGGATTTCCAATTATCCGATTTTTTTTAATTTTCGATTTTACAATGTTTCGTTTTTTTGCAGTTTTCCGATTTTTAAGTTTCTCAGTTTTTTAAGCCCTTAATTTAGAATTTTTAGGTTTTTCAAAGTTTACATTTTATCCTTTTTCGTTTTTGATTTCTCAATTTTACAATTTTTCGATTTCTTTTTTTTTAATTATAATTATTACACCTATACGATACATATTTAAAATGAAAACTAGAAAAATTGCAAATAAAAAAGCGAAGAAATGAAAAATTGAAAAATTTCACAAGGAAAAAAGAAAAACTGGAAAATAAGGACATTGAAAAACCGAAAAATTGAAAAAATAAAGCCGAAAGGAAAAATTGAAACATCCAAAAGTTGGAAAATCGGAAAACTGAAATATATAAAAATGAAAACTCGAAGAGATGCACAGCCTAAAATTGAAGAAACAAAAAATTGTAAAAATACAGAAAATAAAAAACCCAAACCAAAATTTGCAAATCGAAAATTTGAAGAAACGAAAAATGAAAAAATCGAAAAATTGCAACATCGAAGAATTATAACAACCGTCAAAATTGAAAAATCAAGAATCTGAAAAATCTAAAATTGGAAAACTAAAAAAAAAATTAGAAGTTGAAATATAAAAAAATATAAAATTAGAACACTGAAAAACTAAAAAACCGAAAAATTGAAAAAATTAAGGAAATGCAAACCGAAACGAAAAATTGCAAATCAAAAAACTGAAGAACTGAAAAAATGAAAAATTAAATATTGAAAGCTCGTGAAATTGCAAACCGAAAAATTGTAAAATTTAAAAATTGAAACACAAAATTTGGATAATCAGAAAAGTGAAAAATCTAAAAATTAAAATTTGAAGAGATGCTCATCCCAACATTGAAGAATTAAAAAAAAATGAAAAATTCCAAAATCGCAAATCGAAAAAACAATTATAAAAACGAAACATTGAAAAAACGGGTTTCATTGGGCTGCACTTCTGGGACGAGGGAAGTCTGTCGAAATAACCTTCGACTACTTTTTTTACTTTTTGTATTTCGCCAAAAACTATGAACCTTCCAGCATTTGAGGTCTTTTATGCAGCCCGTGTAGAAATCAGTTCGTCGCTTGGTCGTATTTTCGAATTGACGTTTTGAAATACATATTTAAAATATGTAAATACATATATAAAAAAAAACAATTTGACAATTTACAAACTTTGGTACACATTTTTCAAGAGACTACGTTAATTTTGCATCATTATTTGTTTGCTGTGACCTTCTCAAAGGAACTATTCCACGAAATCTTTAACAAACAAAAATATGTGTATATATTCCAAAATCGGAAGCTTTTCCGTCCCAAGGCTCGCGCCTCTCCTCTACGCGCCTCGCTCACGTGACCCCCATTCCACGTCAGGTGGTAAAAAATGGCGCCAACTACGACGTTTTCGAAACTTTCACGTTGCATAACCGGCCGCCCCTCCTCCCCCCCGCCGCGCGTGCAATCGGTTAACAGGGACGTAAATAAAGCTTGCATAACGCCGTCGCGCAAAAAACTCGCGTAGTGAACTTTCTCTGTGTCGGCGGCCGCGGCGGGCCAGACGTCGCAAAAAACGTCAGTCGAACCGTTGGCCGTTGACCTCGGTCCCGAACGCCTCGCCGCCGCTGGAAACAACGATCCCGAGCGCGCCCGATGGAGGCGCGATCCATCTTACCCTCGCCTCCCCTACGACCCATGGATAGGTGAGAGCCACCCCAAGGCCAGCTCTATAAATAGACGGGAGGTTTTATTTATAGCCGGGAGACGACGGATCGGGGTTATATTGTTGCTCAATTGTGATTAGCGATGTCGTGGCGGCGGCATCGGATGGTTGGATGGACGGCGGTGAAATCGTGCTCGACGCTGGGTTCGACGAAACTCGGCTCTGAGAGGAATACTCTCTCGTTCCGCTTTTCTTTTTGGCTTTCTTGATACGATTTTCACTCGGTTTGAAAGATGGTAATCGTGTGGTGACTTTAAAAGTTAGTTCTGCCACTTTAAATTTCCCCGATCCCCGATGCGAGTCAAATTTTGTACTGTTTTAGGGTCCATCTGACGAATGGCAGATTTCAGGTTTTCTCGACGTTTCCCAACTACAAGAGTCGATTTTTATTAGACAGTAATATCCGAAATCTACGGATCGATTGTTGATGGTAAAACGCTAACTAACATTTGTCTGACCATCCCCACAATGGAATGACGTCATCTCCAAATTTTACCATAGTAAATTTTGTTTAAATTTTATAAAATAGCGCACCCCTCCACTTGTGGTTTATACGTGTTGCGTTTTTATCCTTGGGAAAATTTTTGGGGCAAAAATTGCAACTGTGTAACATTTTACAACTTAACTTAAAAATTGCAAAATCGACTGCTTTGAAATCTTACAAACGTTTTAAAGTTAATTAGTAAACTGTTAATCATGATTTATCAGTCTTGGAATTTTTAAAGTTTTTTCGATTTTCCGATATCTCAGTATTTGCGATTCTCCAATTGTTCGATTTTTCAAATTTTCAATTTCTCGATATTTCAGTACATTTTTAGATTTTTTAAATTTGCGACTTCCCGATATTTCAATTTTTTAAGATTTCAATTTTTGGATTTTTTGATTTTTCAAATTTTCCACTATTCAGTTTTACATTTTTCGTTTTTCAATTTTACGCTTTATTGATGTTTCGATTTCTTGATTTTTTTTTAATACATATTTAAATTTTTTGATTCTTCGAATTTCCGATTTCTGGACATTTCTGTTTTAGATTTTTCATTTTTTGTTTTCTCAAATTTTACATTTTTCGGTTTTTCAAAGTTTCGATTTCTCAAGTTTTCGAATTCTCAATTTGTCAATCTTTAAATTCCTGGATCTTTCAATTTTTCAGTTTTTTGATTTATCGAATTTTTAAAAATTTTCAAATTTTCAAATTTTAATTATTTGTTTGGGCTATTCCGATTACTCGTTTTTTTTTAATGTTTAGATTTCTCGTTTTTTTCATGTTTCGATTTCTCGATATTTCAATTTTCCAATTTTTCAATATTTCAGCCTTGGAATTTTTCAATTTCTGGATTCAATATTTTTGATTTTCGATCTCAATCTTTCGATTTTTGAATCCAAGGATGGGTAATTTTAAGGCATTTCTTATGTCTCGTTTCCGTATAACTGCTTTTTTGTTAGCGACTTTATTAATTGGATAACGTCCATGTAAATTTTGAAATTTCAATTGTACCAAAGATTTGGAAAAATCGAAACGTCAACCGAGACTTGTATGGTCATTCTCTGCACAAAATTGATGACGTAATCTCCAAGCATTAGAGATACTTTAAATCTGCAGGACATGGATAAAAATTGCCATAAAAATTTAAGGTGGAGATTAAAAAAACAAAAACCAAAAAAAAAAACAGAATAAGCATGTTGATAGTTTCAAAACGTAACTCTTCGATGATTTGCCTTTTTAATTACAAATTTCCATTCAAGGTTCCGACAATTGTCAAAAAAATTAGGAGAAATTTCAGACATGGACACATCGTTTATTTACAGATTTCAATCGATTTACTGAAGAGGACAGGAAACTCACACACTGTATTTTGGAAATAAAGTTTTAATTTCTTGGCCCACTTCCAAAGTCCTTTGCGTTTTCGAAAAAAAAAAAAAAAATTTAATCCATCCATTTTGTAGTTAATAGCATTTAAGCAGCTGAAAACTTTTTTCGCGCCTACTTATTTTTCTTAATTTTACGAATTAATTTGAACTCCAACAGATACCGAAAAAACAAAATGCAAAGGAAACAAAAATCAAAACAAAGAAAAAGTCCTTTGCAAGACGCGCATTCTTCTAAGACGCACCGCCGA